TAGAAAATGGTACTGAGCTTAAAGTTACACAATGTTCAAGTGCCAATAAAAGTTGACTCATTGAGTCCTAGTGCACAAGAAAAGTAAAAAATCGTTATTCAATAGCTAAATAGCGATAAAAGACTTAAAATAATGTTTTTTTCGAAGCATCAACCCTGTATAATACCTTAAATCTACTAAGAGGTCCATTACCAGGTACATCAATCTGGTCAATCCCGCACAACCAAGAAATAGGGTGCAAATAGTGTTGTTCATTGATAACTAGATCAACATACATGTGCATATCTTCTGCTCGGATCTCATCATGAAGGTGTACTGGTTCGTTCAAGTAATCTTCTTTGTCAGTACACAATGTCACGGTTCTCAATCCAATCTCACTCTGGACGGTTTTAAGAATAAAGCCACAGCCAGGTAAGATACACGATATGGTTGATGGGTGCCTAAATAGGAACCTTAGCTTAGCTTCTTTTGATAAGAGAGAACGTGGCTTACTACACGTGTCCATACAATCAATGATAACATACGAGCAATTATTTTCCGTAGCCGAGCAGAATGTTGACCTGTCAAACAAGTTTAGCGTATACCCTGCAATTTTGATTTGAAACTTCGCATGACTTCCTAGAAATACTGGTGGCAAAAGAGGCCAGCCGCGTTTTTCTGTCATGCCTGTTATCATATCTGCCAACAATGACATATCATCAGTGCATCTCAGCCCATTATTATACCCATTATAATACCCATTATAAGATCGATAAAATGTCCATGTCACAATAGCTTCTAATACCATTAATAAGCCAGTAACTTTCTTTGACTCAGACAACCAATCCAGTAGCTCCTTAAATGTGATTCTCCCATCCAGATCATGATACAGGTTGGGTATAATGTTACTTCTAGCTGGTAGCGCTAATGTTGAGGTAACTCCACTCACTTCAGTTCTCTTTCTCTTGATAGATTCTTTTGGTTCGAGGGACATCTTCCTCGTAGATTTCCGGTGAAGTTGTAATGTCCATTTCATATTGTCTCTCGAGTCCGAGAGCCCCTCCAATACATCAAACAATTGATCAAAAAGGACCCTGTTCGACCTTTTACATAGATTTAGGTTACAATTCTCCAGTAGATATTGTACAGAAGACACAGGAAGTACCGATCCCTGGACTTTCAGCGACTCTGACAGCTGATTAGTCAAAGTTTGGACAACATAGTTAACTTCAGTACCAGCTAGTTCTATCACCATGTCTAGCTTCTGTGTGGACAGTCTGTCTGCATTCTCCAAATACTTTTCTATAAACTGCTGCTTCCATTTCAATATTTCAATCCTTTTGAAGGTCACAAGGAGATAATCTTTTGATTTCATGTTCTCAAAAACAAATGCTGCCTCTTCAAAGAGATAGAGTAGTTCTGTAAAAGACGGTGTCTTGATCGAGTCAGCTACTTTGGTGAAATACTGGGAACATTTTTCAGCAAACCAAGACATTTCAAAAACATTTGCAATCTTGTTGATGTCCCTAAATATTTCCCGGTTAATTCCCTCAACTGTTCCAGAATAAGCAGCATCGACGAACAGCTGAACAGCAGCTTCACTGAACTCCAACATGTCCACACTGGTCATGTGAAGTGTGGTTGTCATGTGATCGATTACAGGGCTGTTGAAGGAGAGGATCACCGAACTGGCACCCACCTCACCTCCCTCACTTGTGTTTAGTTTAATGTTGGAGTGTGTTGGAGATCCTTTCAGATGTCTTCCAAAATCCATTGGTACAGCAACTTTGGGGGCCATAATAATATGCTCTCCCTGAAGATATTTTATAAGTTATTTTACTTTTATAAGTTAAGGAAGATATACTAATTTAAAATCTTGAAAATGCACTTAAATGTATTTTTTTTCCAAAACAGGAGGTCAGTTGCCTTTCTGCCAAAAACCAAGTTTATTATCAATCTGAGATTTGCAAATAGTTATATAAATCATTTCCTTGATATCCACGCCAACAAAGTTAAAATTGAACAATGAAACAAGTCATTCACACAATAAAAGTTAAAATAAATCTGGTAAAAATCTGCTGAAATTAACTCAATAACCATATAAATAAAAATAAGGTGTTTTTTTATCAAAGTTTAATTCGTTTACTGAAACATTCCATTAATTTTTAGAAGAGATTCAATAAAATGAATGATCCACCACATATTATTGTACCATACCGGAAACAGTAGTTGCAAACATAAATTCTGATTGTCGTATTCTGCGTAGTCAGTTCTTAGTATTAAACAGATTACTGACTACACAGTTATATTTCTGATAGGAATGACAGATTCGTTGAAATTTACATAATATATTATCTAGGGTCCTGTTGCAGCGTGCATACTACGACGATGGTTGTCCAGATAATCTTTCCTATAGCACTTATATGAACAACTCTCACATTTGTACGGTTTTTCTCCAGTATGAATCATCAGATGGCGTTTAAGATGTTGGTTCTCAGTGAAAGACAATGAGCATTCATCGCACTTGTACGGCTTCACTCCAGAATGAGTCATCTGATGTCTGAAAAGATGTGACTTGGTTCCGAAGGATGCAGGACAATCACCACATTTATGTGGTTTTTCTCCTAACTCTAAGAGGCGCTTTTTCTTCATTGAAAATTGGGAATAATCCAAATCATATTCATAGATCTTTTCTCCTGTGTGGAGACGCTGATGCCGGACCAAAGTGCTTTTTGAAGTACATTCATAAGAACACTCCAAACACATTAACATTTTTTCCCGTGTGTGAATTTTCTGATGATCAATCAGGCTATTTCTTAAAGGACCAGAATATGAACATTCCTTGCAAGTTTGTAGGTTTTTGCAGAGTGCATTAGGCGGCGATGTTTGACAAGACCAGTTTTGGAAGAACACTCACATGAACACTCAGCACACTCGAAGGACTTCTCTTCAGCAGGAGTGAAACGACTTATACTCGCATCATGGTGAGCAACGAAATTCTTATGAACAATCATGCAGGAAGAATGATCCTCCTTTGCAAGAATTGTTTGCAGCTTCATCACTTCTTCTGTTAGTTTTGACAGGTAAGCCGGCTTATTTGCAAAAGAGTTCAAACCCTTACTGATTATATCATTATGATTTTTTTCGATATGTTCAATGAGACAACTTTCATAAAGAAAATGGGCTTCACATTTTGGACATATGAAATCATGCGATTTTCCAGTAGGTTGTTCTTCCTCAGTTTTCATTTCCATTACGATCGGCGGATCAGGGCCCGTATTCATTACTCCGTTAAGTGAATTTGAACTCTGCATTGGCATATCAGCATATCCTGCAAAAAGTCATGTAAAACTCTCACTGTATTAACTGTGCGAAAAGAAAACACTGAAAAGTAAAAAATTTCCATATTTATCAGTTTATAATGAGTTTTAAGAATCACAGAATAAAATTTGAACCGAATAAATCTTCCCAGATTATATTCCTTTTTTTTAATTTAAATTGAATTAACTTCAAGGCTCATCAAACGTTTCTTTCACCAGCAGTTATTGCAGCACCATAATACTAGGCTTTGCGTTCGTAATTATTCACAGGACATTAGTATATATATATCAATATAATTGTGGGTGGCGTCGTCTGCTGACAGTGCTCAATCGGCAGGCCGAGAGCTAGATACAAATTGAAACGACCGGTTGAGTCAGACAAATGTTTCAATCATGATACAAAACCATGATATCACCAGTTGTTACTGATGATATCATGGTTTTGTATCATGATTGAAACATTTGTTTGACTCAACCGGTCGTTTCAATTTGTATATACTAATATTATATATACTATTATGTCCTGTGAATAATTACGAATGCAAAGCCAAACCAAGTTATTACACATTTTTGATCGGCCAGTATTTCATTATGCAACTTTTATTATTTATAAAGAAAACATGAGCTCTTGAATAAAGAATTAATGTTGAAATCATTAAATTATAATGAGTTTAATTGTAAGCACAGGCACACAAGTGTTATAAATATCTGAGTTCAACTTTAATGTTCAACAAAATTAGTCAGCTACTATACGTCTAATTCTATAAATTCTAATTATAAATCTAATGAATCTAATAATTATTATAATCTAAGTCCTAGCAGAAAACTTAAATTAAAAATCAAAACATGTTTTCATCAAAAGAAAAGAAAATGAAATTGTATACCTACAACTAAATATATTTTATAATGTTAAGGGATGATTCAAATTATTTTTCAGCGACGTTTAAAGTGTATTTTAATACAATGGCTAAGTATTCACTGTCGCCCCGAAAATCCTACCCCAAAATCGAGCTAAGATTGGGGTGAAGGTATTAGGTTCAGTTCTAAGGGACATTAGCAGAGGGCTACAAGTTTACCTAATCCAGAAAATGTTAAAATGATTGTTATTATGTCCGGGCAATAAGGGGTCGTTTACATATTATTACGTAATCATTTTTTTGGAACATTTTTACCCCCCCCCCCTCCCCTCCGTAATCAGTTTTACACATAGCTATTGTGTCAAAATTACACTAGCGTAATCATTCGGAAACCCCCCCCCCCCCCCCCCCCCTCTCAGCTGATTACGTAATATTATGTGAACGACCCCAAATACTAATAGTGAGTGCTTGGTGGGCAGGGTGACGTGAAGCATTTGTGTGTGAGAACTAGCGCAAGTAATTTGTTATGAGAGAAACATATTTAATCATAATTACTAACAATTAATATCAAAATTATAAACTGATGTAAACCAATATGAAGCTGCAGATAAATTATAAATGGTGCAAAGAATAACTAGCAATACCTAACTATATCTAACAATACCTAACAATATCTAACAATATCTAACAATACCTAACAATATCTAACAATATCTAACAACAGCTAACAATATTTAACAATAACCTAGCATAATACAAATACTCATAAATTGATAAAATTTGATTGTAAAATTCTAACTCTAACTCTAAAGATAATAACTATTTGTTATTCTCATTCCACTATCTAGCTAATCAACAGAAGTATCCAGCCGGTATCTCCGCTTTGTCCCACACTAGCCCTACAGAGACCCCCTCTCTAGCAGACTTCTCAGCAGCATCAGCTATCTTAGATACAGCACTGGAGTGTAAGTACGTGATGGGTAACTCTCTAGTTCCGTTCACTACATCTGGAGTAATTAGTAATTAGTAATTGTTAATTAGTGACTAGTAATTAGTAGTAATTATTAATCAGTAATTATTGCAACTTAGTAATTCATAATTGGTAATTAATAAACGATCTTACCAACAAAATGGTCCATTTCAGCAGCGTAACTCTCTTCGTACCTGCGCGCGCAATAGAACACAGTTAGCATTATTAATAGCAATACAGCCGAAGAGTTAAATGCAGAATCATGCATACATAGTGAGTTAAAAGTGGAAACCAAATAAAAAGCATTTTCTCACCTAGAAGGAAAAGAGTGGTATATAGGAACAGAACTAGACCCACTACTGGTACTGTAAACTGCCGTGTTAGGTTTACCATTGTTAGCTTCATACATTGCCTTCATACCAAACACTTCTAGGCGCTGGTCGTAACCGTACGCAGCAAATCTGTTGACGTTTATTATTCCTAGCGTTCCTGAGAGTAATTAGTAATTATGAATTAGTAATTATACTTGAGATGTGTTCAGTAGGAATGTAAGGGCGTGCCAATGCCAACTTATTACTAATTACTAATTACTAATTTTACAGCTGTAATATGGAAAACTGACCAGAGGGGTATGTAAGGGTTGTGACAACGTTATCATAGTCACCAATCTCAGCTATTTCTGGAATCTGTGCATTGGCGATCGTGTGGACCTGCAATTAAGTTGGTCACCGAAGAAAAATTCTGTAAAAAAATGTCACATTTTGTTTTAATTTTTCAAAGCCTTCTTCGGAAATCTGACAGACTGCAGTACCTTAAACGTGTCTTCTGGAAATATCATAATATTTGAACCTGGAATGAACAGAAATGGGAAAACATGATTTTCCACTTGTAATGCTTTCTCTGGGATGCTTTCTCCGGCAAGAATCAAACTTCAAGTACCTCAATAACTGTGTCTCATACCATCTTTACTAACCTGAACTGGCAGCTCTCCAAGTACCCAAGACTGCATGTCTATGTCATGAACCATACAATCGTGAAATATTCCTCCTGATATCTTGAGATAGTCAAGAGAGGGTAGCGGGCTGTCACGTGATATACTCTTTATTATCTGGATGTGCCCTGCTTCTCCTGAAACATTATCGATATAATATTATGAAACTCATTGAACTTTAACCAGTCAGCTTTACAGATCTAGGTATCTAATGAAAAGTCATTCCTAGTTAATGTTCCTTTGAATTGGCAAGCAGCCAACACAGATCATATATAATGTTCTAGAATATCACAAATACCTAAGAAGCAATGTTACATACCTCGTCTAACCCTGGTCTGAATATCAGCAAAAGTAGGATCGTATCTCCTCTGAAACCCACAGAAAAGAGGTTTACCCACTCTCTCAGCTGTCATGTAACAAGTTCTAGTGTCCTCTGGAGTTTCACCTATTGGTTTCTCGCTGAATACTGCCTTCCCTGAAGACAATAAATAAACATGACAAGAGTTTAGTGGGGAGATAATATAGTTGATTTATATAATATAGATTATTTATTGTTTACTGTAGATTAACTTTATTTTTATATCTACTAAGTGTGAAGGATCAACCATAAGTTATTGATATTGTTGAATTTATTTAATGATAAGTTGATATAATAAATGTTTGTAATATCCTATTGAGGCACATGCCACCCCATCGCGGGTTTACTACAGCTATACATGTTATGGGAGTCGGTTCTCTAGAAACATTTATAACCAACAAATTGCATGTTGTTGAACTTGCATATTTTAGCTACATAAATGTTAAGTCAAGGTGATTCTCTAACCACATTATAATAATAATGTAACATGAGACATCTTTATTCTGTGTTAATTTTATTAAATCTAATCAGTTCCTGAGCGTATACAATCACTCAAGAGAAAACACAAAATTCGAGACAAAAAACAAAAAATTCTAATCCAACGAATGTTAAGACAACAAGAAGAATCAACAGTTAAGATTATCTCACCAGCAACCTTACTAAGTTGACTGTTGAGTGTATCCCACAACCAAGTACGTACCTTCCTAGAAGTCCGGCGTTATGTATTATAATGATCCTGGACCTAAGTGGCAAGAAGCTCCATATCAAAAAAATGAAAATAGAAATCTTACCAGCCTCCAGACACAGCAGAATGATATCCTTGTGAGTAAAGGTAGGAGTACAGATAACACACGCGTTCAGCTCGGGGTCTGATAACATCTCAGCTGCTTGATCCGGGTGAACTATTTCAGTGCTGCTACCACATACTGACTGTATCTGCCAGGGGTGTATTCTGTTAAATTTAATTAATTAATTAATTAATTCTTACATTTGTTACACGTTTCGATATTAAATATTATACCCTATGAAATCGTACATTTAAATTTATACAGAGTATGATACAATGCAGAAAATGTTAGCTTATCATTAAATTATTGAAAAATTTTAATGTTTTAATTTTTTTAACCTGGTCCCATTTGTTCTGATCACTTTCAACAACGTATCTCAGGTTGATACTCGAATGTGCCTTTAAATTCCCCAAATGAATACCCCCTGAAAACAGTACCGTATCAAACTGTTATTGTTGATGACTGCAATGCCTAAAATGGAGAATATTTAAAATGAATATTTAAAACTTGAATACTATAAATTAAAACATGAACTAACCAGCTCTTCCCACCCCAAAGAGGGCCATGGTGACAGGTTTTCTGCTAGAAACACTCCCAGAGACTGTATCCAGAAACTTCTGGTACTTCAGATCAGATGGGTCGTGCTCTCTCTCCTCCCTTTTAACGTAGGGGGACTCAGTTTTGAAACGTACTGTTGCCATCTGAGCAGTTTTATAGTAAATTAATGCCTTGAACTGTAGTGTCAGTACAGTAGAAACTCTGTAAATTACAGTGTATTACAGAGTCTGTAATACAAGGCCTGAAAAATGAACGGTATAGAAAAACTCAGATATATGAGATCTGATAAATCACATTTCTTGCACGAACTGGCCAAACACTGGCTAATTAATTAAATGTTTATGTACAGGCTCTACTATACAATAAGTTGTGATTTAAAAATATGTCTAGTAGGAAATGATATGATGATATAATTCGATTGGCATATTTATGAAAGGCTGTTGGCTGCGTGCATAACATTCAATAGTTCAATTAAATAATTAATTGAATAATTAATTGAACGAAGGCTAAGCACTGAATAAGCAGCTGTGACTATCATTTGTATAGAGGAGTAATACTATAGCAAGTAAATCCCGAAGTAGAAGCTCAAAGTAAGCACGATTACGGAGTACAGACGAAGTATATCTAGAAGCTCAAAGTAAGCACGATTAGGGAGTACAGACTACGGACGAGGTAGATCTAGAAGCTCAAAGTAAGCACGATTACGGAGTACAGACGAGGTAGATCTAGAAGCTCAAAGCAAGCACGATTACGGACATAACAACTGGTTACTACTACTAAGTCTACACTCGCACTCTACAACTGTCCAATAAAGAGGAGGAACTGAGCAAAGGAAAACTCAGGAGATTGAATTATAATTGAATTACACAGTAGGTAGCACTGTACAGTGTACAGTATAGTATGTAGCAGTGAATACAAATACAATCTTCTCTCTATGTACCGATCCCACCGATTAACAAATTACATTACCAATTTCCTACACACTACAGGGAACCAAGTGACATCTAAACAAGAGAGAAAGAGACAGAGAAAGCAAGAACACAAGAGGATAGCATGAAGATGCTTTGCCTACCTCTGGGGTGTGGCAACCCTCCCAGGAGATGATGCAGGGGAAGTCTAATGGAAAATTAGTGGAGATTGGCAGGACGAAATGAGGAGGAATTATAAGATGCCCCGAAGCTGAGATGTTAAAACCCATAGAAAAATAATGAATAAGGTCACTCCGGTCTGATCCAGTGATTCGGACACAATACGACACTTTTTGTAGGTTGCAAAGTTTACAATAGTTGTTATGTGTTGGTTGTCGAAGAGACTGTGAGAGCTGCGTATGTGTCAGCCTGTTACTAATTGACGGTTACTACTTGACGGTTACTACTTGACGGTTACTAATTGACGGTTACTAATTGATGGTTACTACTTGACTTCAATCGTTTAATTGCACTACCAATAATGACAACAAGTCTATGGAGCACACCGACCAATTAAAGCGGACACTGGTAGGTCTGATAGAGCAAGAATGTGAGTTAGATAACACAGCGTAGTGAGATATCACTATGTACAAAATATACACAAATTTACAAATACACTGGATATCTTGTACGCAACTACTACAACTACTACTACAAGTACAAGAAAGCAGGAGTAATGTAAACACACACCCCCTCCCCTCTCCTCAGCTCATCCCGTACCTACAGCGGCTCACACACAGCTCATATACAGCTCATACAGGGAGATACAGGGAGATCTAATCTAATTTAGTGTCTAATGCTCAGAGTGCTGATAGTTGAGACAATGTTTACCGGTTAAGATCAAAATATCACGTTCCTCCTTCTTTAGAATTAAACAATTTAACTGAAGGCTTTCGTATAATTTATTAGCCCGAGTAGTCCTCATTCTCCTCACGTCCTAAGATTGCGTTTCTTTTGTCTCGTATTATATATAACGGACAGTGGGAAAATTATATCAGAAAATTATATTAGTGCCGGAGGATTGGTCGTGAACTACTAACACAAGTGATAAGATACATTTAACGGCTATATTATATACTGTCTAGTAGTCTCTATATCATAATAATAATATAGTGATACAGGAATATAGTGAATATATTGCTCTGTTTGTAACATTCCAGTACATTGTGTGAAACTGTGGGATAAATTTAAAATTTGGAAGTATGTAGGACCCGCAGGGGTCGATATTAGAAGAGTGAAAACTACACTATGGAACTTTGGGGCAGACGTTTATTACACTAATGTCGCAGTATTCGTGAAATTGAATCAAGGGTTTTCTTGCTCAGTGTGTCCGTAAAAATGTGAATGCAAGTACCACTTCTTTGATGTCGACCCAAATTATTACTAAATATTCTAAAACATTTTAACTGCAGTTGTACAGAACTCTTAATGCTTAATAAATACCCTTGGAGCTTGCAGGTACCACCCGTATTTACACTCAGTATTTAGTTGGATAATTTTCCAATACGAGATTGGGGACGAGTTCTATAACCAACCAACCAAGATTTTCTATAAATTTCACACGAGTATGGTTACTCCTCGTGGATTACTACAGATTGCAGTTATGGTAAAGAATCGTAGAAACGATTGAAGGAAACTAAAGAAATAATAATTGGAAGAGTAAAATAAAAACAAAGTAAATAACTAACACAACCTACGTGAGTACGTGAAGCAACGATTTGGTTTCGTCTTGAAAGCTGTTGTGACGGATGTTACTGAGGAGAAGGGGTGTTATTAGGGATTTGTTACACAGTTAGGTGGGTTAATACAAATAGAACACTGTTATAATGAATCAATAATCTCAAGAAAGTGGGTTACATATAATTATAATAATATAACACAATGCACTCTTATACCCTTTATAACCCCCCTATTCCTAATTCTTCATCATAACTAATATAATAAAACAACTATTTACACTAAAATAACACACCATACTCATTACTCATGTTTCCTCCTTGGTCGAAAAGTCCCCCTCACTGTATGTATCAATTATGGGAGAAGCAGGTTTGTTAGCGAATTTTGGATATGTCTTCACAGCAGCTGCAGCTTAATTATTTTCATTGTCCTCCAAATATAAATATCTGATAGTCAATTTTTCTGCAATTTTTCTGAAAAGTTTAGAAATTTATAGGTTTTGACGTTTCTGATCCCGATTTCGAAGTCTGATCTTACTCCTCCATATATAATATCATCTTAAAATCGATGCTTCCCTTTTGCGATGCGATCTCATAAGGCAGGCCCCGGCCTTCCCTTTGCAATGCACGCTAGCTTGGAAGCAGGGAGCCTGCCTTGAGAGGTATGTATAATCAAGAATGACTCTGAGGAAATTAGCCAGATATCAAATCAATTCCTAAATATCATCACTATCACAATGAAATTGAGTGGAATTTGAATTTTAAAATTGTTGAATCGGCATTATTCTAGAAGGGAAAAATGAAAATTTTATGACGTAATCAACAGTTTCTCCGTTAGTAAGCTTGGGAAATGTCAGAGGAGTGGCAGAAACTTTGGGAACACGAGACCAGCCTCTTTTTGTAGCTGGTTGTTGTTCCTGCCAAACGCATTCTGTGAATTGTCTGATTGAAATTATTCGTGTATCACCTATAACCTGGCTGGACGGAGTCAGCATACACCTCCGACTGCCACTTTAGAAATTGGAGTGCGCCACACATCTGGCCTAAGAACGCTGTTTCCTGATTCTATCTGTCGAAATGTGAAATCATGGTGAATATCGATATAAACACCAATAAATACCTTTAATTATTGTTTAACTGATATCATTCAATTAGTAACCCAAAGAGATATTCCTAGGATACGATAAGTAAGGCATTTTGGACATAAAAGGCTAGTCTCACAGCTGATTTGGTGACCTTAGACCATTGTTTTCTCAGCTCCAACATGATTGCATTGTTTTGCCAGTCAAATGAGCCATAGAAAAGAGAATAAAAATCGTAGTTTTGACCAACCTCAGCAAGACTTTCTGGTTCATCCCCCTATTACAGTTTGTATACAAACCCAGCAGTAGATTAGCCTCTTATCTACATCCTGGCTATGCTGCTCGTTCCTTTCAAAGGTTATTCCAAGCATACGGTAAGCATACGATAAGGGAACAGCTGCAACTCATGTTTTAATGAAATTAAATCAGATTTTTGTTGACAAGCTGGACCTTAATTTGGTCATTGGTGAACACTACCAACGATGAAGACAACGGTGACGATGTATATGATGCCAACAAAGTAGAGGATGTAGGACGACTACTACTACTACTATGTCGGAGCTAAGTCCGATCTACGCCAGAAAACCCCCTCCATATATCCCTGTCCCGCATCAGGGTTCGCAGTTCCTCTTTAGAGTTTGTCCCAACTTCCTTCAGTAACATAGACAAGTAGCTTTGTCTTGGTCGGCCTTGCTGTGCTCTACCGTGCGTAGGTTCCCATAAGACTAAATCACTGTAGGACGAGAACGTAGAAAAAGGAGGAGAAAGGAAGAAGAATGAAGATAAGATTCCATTTTAATTTACTATGATAAATTGATTGTAATATAAAAATTAAACACACAATTATATCCATTACTCCAGCAGTGATAACACGTTATATCGAATCAGATTATATACTTTTATAGGAGAAGAAAATATCGCAATTGGGTAAAATTGTGAGGGTAGGAAAAAAATTGATCATAGTCCATGATGAGTCTTAGGCCATAAATGAAAGTGGAAAGGCGACAATGAGGTTAAAGCAAAAACTAAATTTTTTTTGAATATTTAGTATGTACAGGGTGGGCCAAAAGTCAGTACCCATACGTTGGCCTTAATTATAGCTCCGCCGTGTTTAATATTTGAGCGCTGTTGCTTTGCAGATGGCATACTGTACTTACTGGTTCGAGGATTCTGTCGTCAAAATTTGAAAATTCGAATATTTAAGACCACGCCCATTCAATATTAAAACAATTATATTGTTTTCTCTGAACATGCTGAACGCCTAATTTTTTCAGAGACGGTAGATTATTAAATGTTGCATGTGATCTGAAAACATGAGGCAAAACGGATTAGAAATGACGAAGTTATCAAGCATTTTCTGTATCTCGTTAACAAAATTGACTGGGTGATTATGTGAGACCGTGACACGACACCTTAATTGGGCACCCTTAACAATTCCCATAATGTTTAACGGGGTAGTTAACGGGGTCACCTTATCACGTGATTAGGTAAACCAATCACCTGATCACACGTAATGAATTAACTCGTTATGCTTCATATCTCGGTCATCTGAGAAGCTACAGTTCTAATTCTTTCAGGACAAACGTAATTCGAATGGCCAAACACAATTCAATAACATTTAGCTTGATCCGACTATCCAAACTATCAAATAAATGTGAAAATGAACCTCCATTTGAAAAAAATGAACGCAAATATTTTTCGAGTTGACAAACTCCTCGAACCAGTGGTGGTAATAACTCATATTATTATTCACCAGAAAGAAGTATTAAAATTGGGCACTCAGTGACTGAGCTATAAAGGACAACGTATGGGTACTGACTTTTGGCCCACCCTGTATATAATCACAAGGTGATTCATAATTGCACCACTAAACTTTGTTCCTGCTTTAGTTCGAAGTGAAAGATACTAGCCTACGCCCCATAAAATGTTTAAGTGTCACTGTAAACCTGTAAGACGCAGATGATTGAACCCTTAATCACACTTTAACATCCATTACGGCTTTTATTTCCAATTTTGCAGAGCACTACCCCAATATTTGGTAGCGCTCGATTTTAAAAGATTTTAAAACGCGCGGCGCGATTTCATTTTTGCTAAATGTTAGTGACCTGGAAACGCGTTTATGTTTTCAATATATAACTATGCTGGCTTTAAAATTTTCATTTTATTTTTGATGAAGCTTGTATTGGTATCATAAATTTATATGATTGATACATCAAACAAATGTAAAAATTATGATTTTAGCTTATATAGTTTAGTTGCAATTTTTATGCAACTTTAATAAAATGCTTGATCATTGATACAAGTTTCGTATCCAAATATCAGAAGTGATAGATTTTCAACAGCACGTTTGTCGTCGCGCGTCACAACAAGTTTACCTTTCGCACGCTGCATTTAGCCCAGTAGAGTTAGTAGTCATGACAACGACATTACTTTGCAAAGTTTAAAAGCTGTGCTCTTTTATTCCCAGAAAACCTTACCGGCTAGCGATATTACTACAGGGTGATCGCCTTTTCATAGCTTGTTGAACTCCGCGCGCGCTCGTTAGTTCATTGCATTTGCACGCTTCAATTATTCCAAGAATGCAATTGTACCACGTACCACGTGATACGATTCAGCCAATCAGAGAACAAAAATCTGCAGAGTTAAAGCTGCGTAGTTTTATAAGGCCTAAAATATGACTTTTAGCGATAATTCAAAATCTACATTGTTTTGAATTTTCCTCCTGGGGGGAACGTTATTTTTACAAGGCGAACATTTTGTTGAAAACCAAACGTTTCTATTTCTTTTACTTCCGAAGTTAGGCCCCTAACGGCGCGCGGTAAGGTTTCCTGGGTTTAGCCCAAAATCAAACTTTTCGGTTTCAGAATCTAAGTTGTCCTTGTAGCGCGATGCACTACTGGGTCGCACGCGCGCATCTAATAATGCTTATTGCTTATGCAGAGATCGGCGAGATGCGAAGGATTGACATTGTGAATCAAAGCAAAATACGGTGCTTTTAGTTGTAAGATAATATAATTTTTAATGGTTGGATATGCTTTGGTTTAATTTTGTTAGACACTTTTCTTGTAAGTCTATAAGTAAGCTTACCAATTTTTGTTAAAATTAGATCAAGGGAAGGTTTTGTAGCGCGATTGACGATGCTTTACTTCAAATTTGACATTGACCATTGTTAATGATCTTGCCCGGCGCGCGCTACTTCGTAGCACTTGCCATCGAGAAGAAAGCGCGACGCACGCTCGCGCTACTTCGAAGAAATTTAGACGAGTAACATCCGTCAATACTTCACATAATACTCATAGCCATGCATGCATACGCGTACTGCGAGCGAGAGGGCTCTGGTTAGAGCAAATGCGTTACTGTGCCGGGCCGCGCACTCAATGAGGCTTCTCGCTAGATCGGCGAGATGCGCTACTAGGTGCCTCGCCGAGCTGTGATTAAGGGAAGGTTACTCAATACGCATTTGCTTCAAGAATTTTGTGCTGGCCGAAATTAGCGCTAAAAACCATCCTACAGTCGGCACGCGTGGCTCACTGTCGATGGTGCACTACCTCATACCTATTTGGAAGATAGGTTGTTTATCCTAACAGTGCAATATCATTTGTCGCAAATCAGAACGATCAGAAACTATTTGGAAAACCCAAAAACTGTCTATTTGGAAGACTTCGCTGCTTTGACGCGCAAACTAGCATTCTTTCTTCGCATCGAAGACGAGATCGTTGTTCTTGGAAGCAGAGCAAGACGCAACGCGAACGATCTGGAAGGGTTGACATCGTCAATCAATTGTATTGTATATAATTGTAGCACGATGCAAATGCACTACGCCGTACTATTGGGCAGGACTCCGCGCATCAAATATTACTGGGCCGCGCTCAGCCTGTCATTCCGCCAAATCTTTATGTTAATGAACATAATAGCCTGGGGTCCTCAGGTAAATCAAATAATGTTTCTGATTGGTAGATGAGTAGATCGGCGAGCTGTGCCACTTGGCCTCGCCGCGAAGGATTGACATTGTGAATCAAATTATTGTACTATGCTGCAGATAATGCCTCTCTTCGTTAGTTCGTTGGATCGGCGAGATGCGCAACGCCGAGCTGAGAAGGATTGACATCGTCAATCAACACGTAATATAATGTATAAGCTGTTTTTACAGATTTAGAGAGGAATTAAACACGTAGATTGGACTAGTCCTAGATTTTCAAACGTAAGAAAATAAGTTTAACATTTGCAATTTTAGTCGTAAATTCTCATTAGCAAGTACCACGCAAGTTATAAATTACTTGGCGAGAGATATTTTGAACTTCGTTAAATTAAAACATGTTCAAATTTTAGTATCAATTTAAAGTAAAAATCTTAATTCAATTAACGTTAAAAACATCACAACCCAGCATCGAGAATAATTATCCCGATGTATATAATCAGCATTTAAAGTTAACTAGTTCCAGGTTTTAGGAATGCGTTATCTTAAATAATTTTCCGGAGCCTGTATCACTAAATAACTGACGAAAATTAAAAGCATAGTTAGAAACATATATCTGCAATTGTAATTGAACATTTTATATTCCAATGAAAATACTCACAACTACATTTAAAATTTAAATTATCAACAATATATTCGAGAAGCAAACGAATCTTTCACTTTCAGGCCTTTCCTTTAAAATTTGGGCATATCAATTCATTATTTTTCAATCCGACGACAATAAACGCATAAATCCTCACAAATCCTGTATCCATCACAAAACTTTAAACATCCTGCAAAAATAAAACAAAATCTTTGAAAATTTCTGCCAATATTGTATAAAAATCATAAATTTACACTTCAGTCCATTTTTCATTACCAAAGAGCATGAACATTTGAACCGCTGACTGGTCACAATCTGAAAAATGAAACATACTTAACAAAACATCCACTTTAAAAGCTACATATCCGTCAAGGAAGCGCGCTCCGTTACTATGAGTTCTCATCAGATGCGGGATAATGCCACACGATAAGATACGAGCTGTTCTGTATGTGTTCGCTTTGGTTCGCTGCTCCAGTAGAATGATCTCGAAAGTCTTCCATACCTTTACCGCAGGAGATTATTACTTGCGACGTTATCTGCAACAATCATAGTCGTGAGTAACAAGTATGTTGCGGAATGCAATACAGTTTTTGATTAAGTCGTTTAGTGTTATTGAGGCTCATTTGATTATTCTTTCTGATTTTTTTCTGAATAGACTTAGTGATGACAAATACAATGTTTTAATGAAGGTAGATAGAATTGATTTTGGTAATTTTGAAATTTGGATTGATGCCCGTATTTTAGATCAGACTAAAGAGTCTGTAATTCAAGTTTAACATGTTAACATAAAGTTAACATAAAGTTAACATAAAGTTAACATAAAGTAAGCATAAAGTTAACATAAAGTTAACATACAGTTAACAAAAAGTTAACATTAAGTTAGCATAAAGTTAACATTAAGTTAAAATAAAGTCAACATAAAATTAACATAAAGTTAGCATAAAGTTAACATAAAGTTAACATAAAGTAAGCATAAAGTTAACATAAAGTTAACATAAAGTCAACATAAAGTTAACATAAAGTTAACATAAAATTAACTTAAAGTTAACATAAAGTTAGCATAAAGTTAGCATAAAGTTAACATAAAGTTAACATAAAGTTAGCATAAAGTTAACATAAAGTCAACATAAAATTAACATAAAGTTAACATAAAGTTAACATAGAGTTAGCATAAAGTTAACATGAAGTTAACACTGACCTCCTCGTAAACATTCTCCTGATCTGTAGACTCAGAAGCGATTAGTTTCCTGATTCTGGATTGGGCTTGCATTAGGAACCTGAAATGTTATTTTAATCACTCTCTGGAGATTTTCTGTGATTTTCTGCGCTTTTTGCGGCTTTCGGTCGAATCAAAGTCGCAGATGGACAACAGTGGACTCTAAAATTAGAAAATCATATTATGGCTGAGAAACTGCCACATATGCTCTCAGTTCTTTTGTTAACATTACTCCTGATTTAATTCACCCAGTAGACTGAAGTTAACAAAACAGTTTACAACTTCGTCAAAGGACGATTCACGACCACACAATAAAAGATTCCAAGTTGCAACTAATTTAGCGAAGAGTTGTAAAAAACGACACCTAAACCCCCACGGTTAATTCTTTTAAATACAAGATTATATGAGCAGCCACATTTCAGATTCGCAATTCTAATTTCCGGAGATAAAGACATGAGGGTTCTATTATTAGCCCTACTAATAGCAGGGCCAGCTTGTTCGCTTACAATAGAGAGGACAGAACAAGTAGAGATAAAGACATGGAACCTAGGTATGAACCTGAACCCTGCAGATGGGCACATCATGGACTACACCAGAGGCTGGGTGGACGATGTCTTCATCGGTACTTACGCTGAGGCCCTGACAAAAGATTACCTGAACAGACTAGTCTGGAGACAGCCAGCGAGTTACATGGCGATAGTTAGACACCAGGGAGGGGAGGTGGACGCAGTGAAAGTGTTCCGGTTTAAGGAGGGTGGAAGGTCCCTGCGATCTAGGTTCCAGGATATGAACCCAGGGAGGGAGGTGGTTACTGAGGGAGGTCCTGTTCAGGAGAGTGTCAGTGCTAACGCTCAGAACATGGCAGATGATCCTGTATTTTCAGTGGGGGGAGACCTGGCTTTCAACTGGGTGTACGCTGATAATGGACACAGGATAGTTTTAACGGGAGGGCATCTTTCTCAAGTTGGATCTTCTGACGACAACACACACGGACTGGGAAATCACTTTGGCTGCAACCCTCTAACCGGCGAAGAACTCAATCCCGTGTGGCCTCACGAGATTTCAAACATTCAGAACTGTCCATTACAGCTCTGTAAGAACACCCTAGTGCAGGGGACGGACCACGGAGATAATCCAGGTAGATTTACAAGTGGACCAGTTTATGGAAATTACGCTATTTATGTTTCACAAGATGCAACTACTTTTCCTGGTCCAGGCTACAAGCTGCAACCGAAGGTTAACGTCGAGCAGAGGTTCATATCATTTGAAACTGAAGAAGGAGATATATCAGTGGCTTAATTCAATGAACTTCGGTTTTTTTTCGATGACTTTCGGATCAACAAGTCCATTATTCGTTATTCCAAAATTGATAAAAGGATAAACTATGGGGGGAGGGGAGGGGGACTGGGCCAATCAATTTAAGTGCAGCATTGAGCATAGTTATTTGTTGTTTTATACTTATGAAATGTAATGTAAAAGCGCCCGTATTTAACATACTTTTTATTCTGTATTCAGCTTTTTATCAGAGTGTTATACAGTTATACATCTCTTGCGGATAGACTCTCCAAACTCAGTATAAAATCTGGAAGATACTCTAGATAATAAGATAATAAGATGATGAGGAAGCTTACCTGACACCGTCGTAGTGGCCCATGTAGCTGAGGAAGGGGGGACCGCATATCTTGGGGGCTACGGGGGGTTTAGCGATAGGAACAACAACCACTACTCCAGAGGAGGTACCTGGAACACGTGACTTTTAGAATCACGTGACGACTGACGTGATATAAATAAATTAAGACAGTGAAAACTTCTTCACTTTCAACACCACGCACGCGACGTGACCTCATCAAGAAACCACGTGACGTCACCACAACACCACGACGTCACAACAAATACCACGTGACGTCACAACAAATACCACGTGACGTCACAACAATACCACGTGACCTCATCAAGAAACCACGTGACGTCACCACAACACCACGACGTCACAACAAATACCACGTGACCTCATCAAGAAACCACGTGACGTTACCCCAGTACCCACCTATCCAGAGAGCACCGGTAGAGGAGGAAGCTAGGAGTGCTGTTACTCTCACATTCTCCGCTCTCCGCCTTCTGGACGAGTTATGCGAACCTGGAGATATGTGAATTATGTGACCCCGGAAATAAGATAAGAAGATAGAGTTAGATTAGATAGAGATTATATAGAGATTAGATAAAGGGGAATTAGTTATCTCGCGCTAGCAACATAATTGATAATCATGACAGTTCACATGATACCAAACACAGAACCCCACTATTTTAGTAAAGTTGCTGAGTTAACTAATTTAGTCTCTACACTCACCAGTAAAGAGATGATGAACAACAGTGCTGATATCATAATCCTCCAAATGCTCCCCAGTTTTAGCGTGGAACAGTCTGATTACCGGACTGTTCCGAATAGCTAGCCATACCCCACTCCCACTATTAACCATCTTGTAGACTTGAGCTGATGTGTTGTTGTGTGTCGAGAACAGGTGCTGAAATGAGAACACGTGACGTCAAATATTTATCAAGTGACGTCATCAATTTATCAAGTGACATCATCAGTTTATCATGTGATTTTACCATAACATCGGTTCATTCGACCTAACTATTAGCTGTTTTTGCGCTTCTTTCTATTACCGAAGAGGTGCAAACTGCAATTTTTTGGGGTTTTGGGAGTATCAATGTTCTGGAAGAAGACTTTATCTGGAGATATGTCGACTTCTTTTTAAGAACCTTAAAAGTTTAGGTAAATTTGGCAAGTATTATTGATGAATCTATATGCTTATATGCTTTTATGCAATTTATAATTAAGGGTCATACAATAAAACTCGTTTGATAACAGAATAATCAGCAGAAACTATTGTCATATTTATCACAAAAATTGATTTTCTTCCACCTTATCACCGCCATCTAAACAGTTATAAACTCCCAAACATCACCTTTGATAACATCGACCCCACACTCAGCATCAACCCTCCAGAAGTACTTCACCCCAACTTCCAACTTCTTCTTCAGATACACAATGTTCCCACCTGCCAGCACTGTCCCAATAAACTCTACACTCGCATAATCAGCAGCAAGTACTCCAGCTTTAGTAGTTCCAAGATACACGTGGTGTGTTTCGCACGTGTGCGCGTTTAGCCACATCAGCGCGTCCCGGTGGGAAGCCAACACGTGGTGTGCATGTTGGGGCGGTACTGGGGAGGAAGCCTTGTAAAGCTGTCTCCCTGGTATCCAGTAAGTAGTGAGGTTTGTACTGTAAGGGTACGGTCCTGCTGTGATATTCTCGTGGAGTGGTCTAAAATCATAGTTATCAGGGTCATGAAGCAGGGACTTTATATCAGTGTTCACGATGTTTCCTGTCACATTAGATCCGTGCAGTGGCCAGACACTTATAGGCCTCACTTTGCGACCGTTCTTGAAGACTTTGCCCCCGTTTGCTGAGTCAGCTAGATTTCCTACAACTGTGGAGTGATTGTTGATCTCGATAGGGTTTGCTCTAACAGTCTTCCACACGCAAAGTGAACACTCTGGAAATGTCCTTGTGTCCCCGTCAAGTGAATCAAATGCCAGATTATCAAGCACAACATGATAGTCGCCTTTAACTTGAGCTCCACCGGAACCAACCCTGAACAGGACATTCTGGGACAGGGTACCGTGATCGCCAACCCTAGGAGGCTGACCATCAAACCTGACCCCCCACTCAGAAGAGTCGTGCACCCAGTTCCGTGCAACTGTCGTCTGACTTTGCCAGTTTTTAGTGACCTGTATCCCGGCTCCATCATTTGCCTGGTGGCCCCAGCACTGTCCCACCACTCTATTCAGAGTAGCATAAGACTGCAGCCCAGGTCTGAGTCCGTGACTCTCACCGTTGTACCTGAACGTGTTCCTGATGTAAGTGTCGTGGATACTGAAGATTTGTGTTGTACCGTGTCCTCCTTCACCAACTAAACTGTTGGCAGATGTCCAGTCGTTATACTCGAACAAGTTGTTCTCCAGAGTGACACGTGAACCCTCGTAGGATAGAGCAGGACCGTCAGCTCCGTGGAATGTGTTGTTAAAGAATGTGAAGCTTCCCCAAATATCAGTCGGTTTGTGTCTTCCTAGCCTTCCTCGCCTTCCCATTAGGTTCGTGCATTCTGTGACAGATTTTTCCAGTAGCATTCTTTTAGAGGCACAAGGGTATAAGAAGTTAAGGGAGTCAAATCTTATTTGATCAATGTAAGTGTCTGTTAAAGTGGATGTTCCTTTTAAAGTCGTACCGAAAAAGTCCAAGTTCTTCAGAACAACGTGCTGGCTATCTGACAAGGTCAGGGCGTACGTCTGTACCTTACCTCGTAGTTTAGTTCCGGACGAGAAATTCTTACCTTTTGGAGGTATGAAATGAAGCATGCTGGTGTCTTTGTCAAAGAACCATTCTTCGGGTACATCAAGGAGATCAAGCTTGCTCTCTATGAAATACTGACTATGTTTCGGTTGGAAATGGATCTTGCCAAACGTGTCGTGATAGGTAAAGAAGTTTTGCCCAGGAGTATGCAATTCCACTGGAGCGACAAAAGTATTCCAAGATCCGATGTTCATCACGGCCATCGCTCCTGTCATATTCTTGTCACTGTCTTTGAGGCTGTCTCCACGGTTTATTATCTTTCCTCTAATAGAACCGGAGGAGGTTTTTGCCCAATGGTTCCGTCCGTCAAAGACAGTTTTATCAGACCAGTTTGCGTTAGGCCACCTAGCATTAGTCATCATTAGATCGTCAAAGAAGAGCTGCCAAATGGTTTGATTTATCTTCCCGAAGTAAATCTCGCCATCCCTCTGCCATTCGCCGTTTTCAGGAGAAATCTCGACAGTGCCATCAAGAGTAGGCCTCTCTTTACCGTATCCTCGAATAACAATGGGTTTCTCAGCAGTCCCTTTTAATCCGGAGACTACAATCTCCTCTCGGTATATTCCCTCGCGAATATGACATTCGTCCCCAGGATTCTTTAGCGATCCAACACAGTCCGTCACATTCTCAAATGGTTTTGACCACGAACCATCTCTTGCACTTGACACATTTCTGTTGGAATCTGCATAGAAAATCGCTGTAGAGGCAGAATTAATTGCCAGAACGATTATGAAAGCGTTGAGAAATATCATTGCTCTAACACGTCGCTATTCTAATTTAAAAACGGTCTAAGTGCCCTTAAGTTTTATAAACGGGTTTTTATAAGAGAACAACAGGATTGGTTTAGTATGCCAGGTGAAAAGTTGCTGAATTTAACGCGTTTCTGAGATATTTAGAGCGAAAGATTAATATTATCACGGTGCTACTTTTCTTTTATAAATCGAGGGTGTTTTCTTATGAGAATTCAATTTAACGCGTTTCTGAGATATTTAGAGCGAAAGATTAATATTATCACTGTGCTACTTTTCTTTTGTAAATCGAGGGTGTTTTCTTATGAGAATTCAATTTAACGCGTTTCTGAGATATTTAGAGCGAAAGATTAATATTATCACAGTGCTACTTTTCTTTTGTAAATCAAGGGTGTTTTCTTATGAGAATTCAATTTGTTTCAACCAACTCCCCAATTAGAAGAGATAAGGAAAGGAACAAGATTGTTATGAGACAGACGCGAGGGAAATGGAACATTCATCTGATAACAATTGGGAACAATTACAACTTAACTCAATTTGTGAGTTTTCTAGTAGCCAAGATTGTTGAATACAGAGTTAAATTAGATTGTGGGTGGAATTTACCGCTTTTTTCGGGAGAGTGTTGGGACTTCCCGAAAAAAGTTGGAAACTGAAATGGTAACGTTACAAAAGACATGATAAATTACAATAATAAGAGAATACGAGATAAAACTCACCTCTACGGTGACGTTTTCAGGTGATATAACGAAGATTTGACATCCGCAACTGCACCACATTTGTCCCCCAATAGGAAGCATTACACAGATTGAGTTGTTTCCTAACTTCTTGGTTAACGGGTCATTATCACACCACTCGTTTACAGACACTGTAATTTAATTAATTAATTAACTAACTTAATTATTCAAAGTATTAATTAGTTGAATAAATGGGGTTCATAATATCAGGCTACCAATTTAAAACTGTTTAATATCAGTCAAGCTTAACGAGTAACATTATACGGACATGTACACGAATAATCGTAATTGCTTGGCATTGAGAATAATGATGATTGAAAACAGGACGAGATAAATCAGGAAGAGTTCAGGGAAGTATTCTTCACAGCTAACGTTAAACTTACTATTACCGGTTCCAATATTTGGTTCTAGAACAGAGGTTTGTTCAACATAAACAAAATAATATTAATAAACTTGTTACTCATGCAGACCACCATCTTTTAATAATCAGCACAGAAAATTGGTAATTGGTTAATTATAATTAAGTGATTAATTAATAACCAACCGTCTCTAGTGAAGACGTGAATGTAACCCTCAGAAGTTCCGACAAACACCGAATCATCAATGTGAGATATACAGATTACCGGACCTGCAATGGGTTTTAAAATAGAACATTTTCAAATCGTAGATCCAAAAATAACCTTAAATATTGAAAAATAATTCGGCTATTTGAGGGTGCGGGAGTAGACTAGCTTTCGCACAATGATCAGGTTACTGGGCTGACAATTTGTTAACTCACAACATTGAATAACAAGCTGTTTACATTATAACGTGGCAGCTCTTGGGATCGAGTTCCGACCTATGGTTTTTAATAAAAAAGTAATAAAATGTATTAGTGTCAGACTCACCTCCATCCAATTCAAGTTCTAGAAGAGTTGAGCTAGGATCCGACATCATGTACACCAGCAACCTGAAACAAATCATCCTTACTTGGAAAGTGCGTACGTGAGATTGAACCTCTTAACAATGTGTTAAGATTTGATAGCATATTATGTACATATTATCCAACGAGTAAGTATATATTGGGAAACTAGCTGACACAAGAAATGTCAGACCACCCGCACATGGGAAGCATGCAGTATTAAGCCGCGCGCCGATTAGACGTATCCTCTTTTGCAACATCGCAGTCGTTGCGCGCTCCATTTTGCACAACCTAAATGTGTGACCGAATAGCAAACCTTTCCTTCAACACCAGGTCACGAAATTAGATTTCAGTGAGGGGCTATTCTGGGTATGTGACTTTGCTGCACTCGATACTGAATAATGACATTTCTCCGCTACTGGACATAATACTTTTCGTGAGAAAATTTTTTCCGTGAAATGTAATCCCATCTCCCGTTTACAGCGTACACCCGCAAGCCGCATACAGCACAGAATTAACGGCTAAACTCTAAAGATTATTTAACTAACCAACTTATGACAATTACCCTAATTATAATAATTATCAACACATAATTAACGAAATAATTACCTGGCGTCCTGAGTCCCGACCCAAAGGGTGTTTTCTCTTCCCGGCACCATGTGACAGCACAGTACTTGACTACCTTTTAGGGGTATATCCAGCGCAATGTGTGGGGTTGGTTCAGCAAGTCGTAACACCACTATCTGGATACAAGTACCGAGTTAGGGTGAATATAGTGCACCGCTAATTCGGGTATAATGTAATAAACCTGTACTACTGCACTATTCAATCTGCACACTTATAACCAGACATTTTGCTGGAAATATTATATTACAGATTGCTAGTACAGTGTACTGAAATAAAGTATGTTATTTCTAGGGTTAAGATTACAATGATTATCAGATAAGGAAGGGTTTACCTCGCCGTTACCGTTCTGTCCGTGTCCACAGAGGAACACATCAGTTGATTTCAACTCAAACTCTGCTCCCTCCTAAAGGGTGGTGGTTGAATTGTTGGAAATGAAGCGTTATTGGTATTTGAGGAACTTGTTATGGCTATGGTATTTGCTTAATTATTTAATTGGTACATGGTTCAAAATATTTCTGCAGACAGACAGTTTAAGAAAACCATTGAAAAGTGTACCGTAGATCTTCTTGGATTACACAACCAAAATAATGGACAAAAAATCATATAAATCATTAATTAAGCTTTTAAGACTAATTATAGTCTTACTTCATTGATATTCTCGTAAGTGTCTTGTTCAAGCCAGTCATCGGAAGCCAGTGAAATTTGGGATTGTGACACTTTTGGTCCCCGGTTTATGGACCTTTTGCTTGACTCTCTTCTGATCACTTTAGTTCTGAAATAGCACAATATTTATAAACAATATATTTACGCAACTGATTTTAAGTTCAGATGCACAATTAATATTATTTATCGAGAGGAAACGAAGGCTCAGTAAATGATTTTGGATAATAAAAATTGTAAATTTTTAACAATTATAGTGAGAATCTCAAACCCGAGTTTTTTAAACATTATTATTTTATTTATTGATTTTTTTCAAACCTGAGTTTTTGTGTGGCACATTCAAAGTTCTCGTAAAGACTGTCGGTAACTGTATGATTCTGTTCAGAAACTATCTCTGATGTTGATACCTGTATTTGTGGTAGTGCCTGCAATATGTTCACTGTTTAGAATTTCAAGAAGATTTCACTAACGTTCCATTAATGTAACTTGATTAAAGAAGTCAGTACTCAGCCACCATAATAATATGTAAATTGCAGTGACCTCTACAATTGGTTAATGATTGAAAAGCACATACCACAGGCGTTCCATCAAGTGAGGTATTTGAAGGTGTCCCTCCCGAGTAGGAAGATGTGAAACTGTCCGGACCGGACGGTTTTAAGGAAACCAGGTTTAGCTGACTATCATATCTGAAATATAGGGCAAGTTGCCAAGTTAGTAAACAGATCAGTCTGAAAAACTATACTCATGAACTTGATAAAGTGATTTAAGAATTGGGAAACATAAAATATCAAATATGCAAAAAGGAGCTGAAATTGAAATAAAAAACAAAGAAATTAATGAAACAAAAGAAAAACAAAAGAAAAACAAAGAAAAATGAAGAATCTGACATGTTAGGGGTATCATCCTCATCCTCACTGTCCAGCTCCAACAAGGACTCATCAACAAAGTCTGGTAACACAGCGTCAACAACTGGGTTCCCAACCGGTGGTTCCATTGTTACAGGCCTGAGGTTCAAAATGAGGTTCAAACTGAGGTTTTAAGCGAGGTTTCAGTTGAGGTTTAAAATGAGGTAAACATCATTTGTTTATAAAATTACTAATACAAGTTCTGTTTAACACGGACAGCAATTGAAGCTTCTTTTTGAAGACTTGAATTGTATCTAATTTACCGGGAACTCTACGGTATAATTCGATAGAACTCTAAATTACAAACTTTCCAACTTATCAACTACTCACCCTGTTATTAGACTAGTTATTGTATCAGTATAGATTTGTCCGTATTTGTCAACCAGTAAAGGACCTCCTTGGGTTGATTCGGCTGCTCTGGGGAGACTTTCTCTGCCCGGCTGAAATGAAGAAAGCTTATATATAAGCTTTCTTGATCAGCTGAGAAGAAGTATATATACTTCTTCTCAGCTGATCAAAATTATCAAAACGATAACTATTTAAAACGATAACTATTTAAAACATAACTATTTAAACATAACTATTTAAACGATAACTATTTAAACATAATATTTCTATATGATATTCTATTTATAACAGCCAAATTGCATATGCTTTAAAAAACAATAGACAGTTTTTGGGAGTTCCGAATAGTTTCTGATTATTCTGATTTCTTGCGACAAATGATACTGCACTGTTAGGATAAAAGTAACAACTCCTTATTCATGCTGACAAAATTGGTAAATATGTGAGAAAACTGTCTCATAAAATTTAGGGGGGGGGGGGGGGGGGGGGGGTCAACAAATGAGGTTGACCCCCCCCCCCCCCCCCCAATTTATTAATCAAAATTGGCTAAACGACAACAAATTGTTTAAATACTAGACTAAAATTAGAATCAAAATCTATATATACACCAATACTCGATCTGCTATTCAATAAACTTAAAACATCTTTAACAACTTTTAAAAAACACTCACCGCAATAAAACTAGAAATTTCCCGGCTGTCCGTCAACTCCAGGTTAAAACTTTCATCGGGAAACTCGGCCAAGTTGAGGTGTTCAAATCGGGATAAAGGAGATACAATAGCTCCTGCTGGAAGGTCCTTGAGATCTTCTGGGATGTTCTCTGGTATTCCCAGCGCGAAGGGTTCTGTTGAGGATTCTAGGTCGAAGTCTGAGTCCTGGGTTGTTGAGCTGTGTTCGAGAGATGGTTCACTTTCTTCCTGATGAAATTAAAATTTCATGGTTACATGTACATTTCCAAGTCTTCAGTGAGTGCTGACATAAACCGCTATTGAAATGATTAATTTCACCTATATCTCATACAAGTACTAATTTCCTCGCACCTTCAATTCTTCAGAATATTCTTTTATCACAACATAAATTAAACATAATTTCTATATCAGACGAAAGATATTTAACACCAAATCATAAAAGATATAATACCGGACTAACGTTAGTCTGTAATATTTCACTTGAACTGCTTAGCAGGTTCTCATCTACACTCATACTACGCATTAGCTTTCTCTTCTCTTCCTGGAGGAGTGTGAGGTGTCAGCCACGAGACAATAGTTTGAGGATTAGTTTGGGGATTAGTTTGGGGATTAGTTTGGGGAATAGTTTGGGGATTAGTTTGGGGATTAGTTTGGAGATTAGTTTGGGGATTAGTTTGGGGAATAGCTTGGGGATTAGTTTGGGGAATAGTTTGGGGATTAGTTTGGGGATTAGTTTGGGGATTAGTTTGGGGATTAGTTTGGGGATTAGTTTGGGGATTAGTTTGGGGATTAGTTTGGGGAATAGTTTGGGGATTAGTTTGGGGATTAGTTTGGGGATTAGTTTGGGGATTACTTTGGGGAATAGTTTGGGGAATTATAGTTTGGGGATTAGTAAAAAACAACCGCAGGAAACGTGGCAAGTATTAGATGTTAGCGGTATTAACGCTAGCTCATGAGTGAAGTAAATAGTAGTGGTAAGTGGAGTTTAAGTTTTCAGTGAGAAAACCCAGTTGGGATCATAACTTCCCTCCCACGAGAAAACCACCGTTACATGGCTGTAACCCCGTTACCATGGTAACGGTAATGGGTCATCCCTGGTAACAAACGGACACTAGTACTTACCCTGAGCATGCTTATCTCGTATGGTGTTTCGTATAGATCCTCTGTAGTCTCTCTATCGTCCATGTTGAACTCTTTCGGTACACTTTCTATCATTTCTAGTAAAAATGAGATTGTTAGCTTGACAATCAAGTCTAAATTCTCAAATTTTATTATTCGCTTCAAGTTTTACCATCAGTAAAGGATCACGGTAAGTAGTTCTTTTCTCATTCTTTGAAATTGCGGCTAACTTAAAACTGAAAATTAAAAGCCCTTTTACTTCTAGCACTGTACCTATGATAGATTGTCGCTCGTTTTTCCGTTGTACAGCCAGGTTATTCTGCCGTAGAGGATGGTTACCTAGCAAGTTTCTGTTACAATTCATCACTTTCTGATTAATCAATACAAAAGTTGGGAGCAGATCTAATTATTAACCCAGATGATCTATTGTTTAAAGATTGTGTAGGGAGTACCAAAGCGGAACACTAAGGGCACGTGACAGTGGGGCACGTGACTACTCTATTTAGAACGGGTGACAAATAAGTAAGTGATTTGACAGCTGCTACATTTAAATCTGGTGACATATTATGTCACTTAAAACTGTTCCCACCCACGATTGCGGAATTCACAGTACACTAATACTATTAGTACCGATGAATAGTGAAATGTATTCATTAATCTAGTATGATCTACATATCATTATTATCTGCTAATACCTACTTACTTAAATTCTTTAATACTATTAATACAATTTATTTAAATTTATTCAACAAAAGCTGCATAGTTCACATACCAGGAAGAGGAGGAGCAGCTCCGTTCTCATCAACCTGCCCATTATTCTGCTCCTGTGCGCGCAGCATCACCACAGCGCTGTCGTAGGACTGGGAGCGCGCGGCGGGGGATGGTGGTGTGCGCAGGGAGGGAGGTATTGAAGAGGGTAGGGTTGAGCTGGTGCCATTAATAGCAAACGGTGATCTAAATGTAGATATTATGTTTAATAATGTACAGAGAAAGATATAATTGTGTTCATTTTTTTCAGAAATTAAACAAGTAGAGTGAGACTTATTTTAACTCTATAGTCACTTAATTGATTAATCACTTAATTGATTAATCACTTAATTGGTTAATCACTTAATTGATTAATCACTTAATTGATTAATCACTTAATTGATTAATCACTTAATTGATTAATCACTTAATTGATTTGTTGATTAATCACTTAATTGATTAATCATTTAATTGGTTAATCACTTAATTGATTAACCACCTAATTGATTAATCACTTAATTGTTTAATCACTTAATTGGTTAATGACCGACAGCACACTGACCTGGATTGAGGAGCCATGATGGAAGGAACAGCAGGGACCTGTCTCAGTGGAGGTGGTTCTAGGCTGGAAGGTTGAGGTTGTGAGGGTTGAGGTTGTGAGGTTGGAGGTTGTGACTGTGGGGGGAGTGTGGGGGTGAGGTTCTCGTCGTAAACTGGGGTGTCTTGCACTGGAGCCGCACCTGTGTTCAGAGATAAAGAGGTTAGATATGAGATCTCATAATGATATTGTTATGTGATAAAATGTTTGAAGAGTAAGATAATGAGTAAGATAGGAGAGGATAATAGATAACAATGTGTGGTTCACAGAGAGGAATAGATAAGAAACTTTGGAATGGGAGGGACAGCTAAAGATTTAACAAGAATGACAGATAACAAATCTACACAATAATATGTAGTATTTTATCTATTAATTTACCAGGAGGAAGTATCGGAATCTCGTCCGCCTCCTTCACGTTAGCGTACGACTCGTACTTATCTCCGCAGCTCATTATTCTGTACAATATGTCCTGTGTAACAGGACATGTGAAGTCTGCGTTTACTGCTGCACATTCCACCTTGTGAATTAGTTATTGGTTAACTAATAATAATAATATGACTGATTCTCAGGAATTCGTATATTTTTAAGGTATTATATGTTTTAATTATCAAACGAATGTGTGGATGGCCATGCATTTTATGGGGATGCCATAAAGAACAAGGTGCAACTGATGATAAGTGATAACCAAACCATATTTACAAATAATAATACCGATTATCACTGTGTAATTATGCTGTCACCGCCTAGCCGTGCCCAGTGACAAAGCACGGTTTAAGGCCACCTAGGGTATGTAGATTCTCTCTACTCCTAAGAATCTAATAAGGCTTAAATCCGTCTGGATTTGGGCATATTGCATATTCTAAAACTCTAAAAGGATTAAGGTTTAATGCAGAATATTTGTCTTAGTCTTTATATAAATTTGATTAGGACCCACATTCTCATGACAGGGCCAATATGTAGCACACTTAGTGTACCTAGCTACTCGAACTTAGTGGTAGGATAACAAAATGAAAGACTTTAAATTTTGGGGTTTTGTAGAAAAGTAAAGATTGTAACGTAAATAAAATGGTAAACTTCAGAACTGATCTCTCTCTAAACTAAACATGCGAGTAATAAATTTAAACGTAGAATTCTGTCTCGTCTAAGGTGGGGTGGAATTTTAAGAGTTGACGGATGAATCGTGACAAAAACTATCAACAAGGTGAACTAAAACGGAAGATCATAAATGGGATGGTGTGTCACGTGATTAACTAAGATAGGCCTGATTGGATGGCTAATTAAATGAGTGAAGATTATTGGATTAAGTGGCATGCTTTCTACTGTGCTTGATGACAACCTATGAAACTAACTGATGAGAAAATGTAACTTATATGAATTCAGGTGCTGCCGTAGTGACTATTAAACTATTTAATTTGAGGTGTGAGTGAAAAATACTAATTTGCGCACAAACAAAATATCAACCATATAAATATTTCTGACCAGTAACTATTTTAGGAATTATGCCCAGATTATAAAGATAATATAAAACCTACACACTGCACAACTCTCCCTTCTCCCCTTATTAAGATATAAAACTTATTAATAATAAACTTAGATACAAAAAATTTTAAAAAACCGTTCCTTATACTTCTTTTTCCGTTCTTTAAAACAATCAACCTTTATATAAGGAACAAATATACACTTAAATAAAATCAACACAAAATACACTATTACAAACAGATTATAAAAACACAGTTCCTTATTCGTATTTTTCAGTTCTTTCAAACAATTAACCTTTATATAAGGATCAAATATACACTTAAATACTATACATCACCAATTTACTCAAAATATTAAACAAATTTTTCGTCTTTTAGTTTTACAGTCTATTTCAGTCTTCTTCGTCTCCTTCTGCTCCTTCGTCATGATTCTTAAGTTCTTAGATATAGCAAATCGTCATTCATTCTCATGAGGCGCTCCGTTAGCTTGATCAATTGTTCTATTTTCATATCTTTCATGATCTTCGGTAGTGGCCTCCAGTTCTTTGGGTCTGACAGTTCTTTTGTCATGTCCAGGATCGGGCCACAAAATGCCTTGAGATTATAGCGTTGTTTCTCAAGTATCTTGTTCCCGTTATTCTCTATTCGAATTCCGTTTCTTCGTTCCAGGGCCCCGAAGAGCAGGCTTTGCAGCCTCAAGACCCTGTCCCGGATCGTAACGAACTCCCCTGGCTCTTTTTCTGTTTTTCGATCATTCATTTCGCAGATTAAATCACAGGCTACGTTGTTAACGTATTTATATATCTCCGGGTCCAAAATGACAGGACCCGGGAGCCTCACAAATTCTGTAATTTTTGCTCCTTTTGTTGGTCTAGCTGGTCCTATGGTGACAGATGCTGGTTGGAGGGTTGCTGGACTAACTGGTCTAGCTGGTCCTATGGCGACAGTGGTTCGTTGGAGGGTTGCTGGACTAACTGGTCTAGCTGGTCCTATGGCGACAGTGGTTCGTTGGAGGGTTGCTGAACTTACTTCTTTCACATTTTCTGTAATTCTTCCTCTTCCTCTTCCTAACTTTGTCTTCTTTTCCCCTGTTTTTACCAAAACTTTCTTCATTCGTTCACTGTCTTCATTCACTTTTTCGCTAGTTCTTCCTCTTCCTCTTCCTAGTTTTATCTTCTTTTCCCCTGCTTTTACCAAAACTTTCTTCATTCGTTCAGTGTCTTCATTCACTTTTTCGCTCGTTCTTCCTCTTCCTCTTCCTAGTTTTATCTTCTTTTCCCCTGCTTTTACCAAAACTTTCTTCATTCGTTCACTGTCTTCATTCACTTTTTCGCTCGTTCTTCCTCTTCCTCTTCCTAGTTGTATCTTTATCCCGCCTTCCAACTCTGTCGCTTTCCCTCGTCCTCTGCCCATTATAGCTTTGTTCGAATTTTGTATCTTGATTTGTCCTTTTCCTCTTCCTTCAAGTTCAACTTTCTGTTCTTCAGCATCTGCGAATCTATCTTGATTCGAGACTGGGTCCTTTTCCTTATTCTTTTTTTCCTTCCCCGTCCCCGTAAACGTTGGTGGCTCTGAGTCGTAAATGGCAAATGATTCGTCCATTATCGAAGGTACATCCAGTTCGTCCCAGTCTTCTTGGATTATTATAATCGATTCCGTGTCGCTCATTGGGTAACTGAATGGATTGATGTTGTAAATTCCATATTTCAATTATTCCATATTTCAATTATTCCATTTTTCAATTATTCCATATTTCGTTTGTTCTTTATCAAAAATGGATCCGGAAAATCAAAGGGAAACTTTGAGTTTAAACTGATTAAGACAAACGACGATAATGAAGAAAAGAAAAATGAAGATCACAACTACGAGCAATCTTACTTACTTAAATGAAACTTAAAAGACGAAAACGGCAATGATATAACTTTAAATTAAAAAATGTTAAATATTTACTTATAAAGCGGAGTGAGTATTAATTATGATACTATATAAAAAAATTACAATACGGTACAACAAATCTAGAGCTTTCATTTTTCGATAATTCCATTTTTCGCTAGTCAGAGAGAAATGGTCCTACTATTTTAGTAGTCCGCGTTTTGCTGGCCTTGTGTACAGTTTCACTTGACGAAGTGCTTGATATGTCTAATGTACGACAATGTTCACGTTTGGATTGTACACAATATGGATCGTACTGAGTTCCCTTGCTTTTCGTGACTGTGACTGTGGAACGTTCAATATGTGCTCTTAACGGTACTATCTCGGTACAGCTGAAATGTGGATTACCATCGTTCAAATCTGTAACTTGCAGATTGGAAGGTATGACGGGTGTAAGCTCTTGGTGCCTTAACCTTCTGATCTCTCTCTCATGTCTCGCTGTTGCTAATACTGTTTGAAGTAGATTGCTGTTTTTCTTAAGCCTTTTATAACATATTAAACCTATTAGCACGGCAATTGATGTAACAGTAGCAATGGTAGAAAACAATGACGTCCACTCAAAGAACTTTTTCTTTGAAGCACCAAGACCAAGATAATTCGGTTGGTAATCTTGAAGAGCTATCTGCGTTGTGTTCTCTAATCGCTCACTCAACATAGATATGTTTTGAGCGTGATACTGTATTTCCCTGATCTTCAAGTACTTGTTCAGGTCTAAACTAATTTCACTCCTTTTTTCGGTTAAATTCCTTACAGTGAGTGAGTTGTCTAGGGCGTACATTATGTTCTGTTGACACTGAATCATTCTATATTGCGACCACTCAAAAAAATACGAAGATTTTTCAGGTACACTTGCAACAACTAACTTAGTCGTTTCATTTTTGGGCATTGCTAAAACATCTACTTGACTAAAAACTAATGCTCCGGCTTTTGTAAACACCATTTTAGTTTCACATGAATCTAACGGAATGGTGACACAAGATGTGATCTCATTGTTAAGACACGGCAGTTCTTTGATGCTCGGAGAAAATCTATCTTCAAATTCCTGGTGACAATAAATTATGTCGTCAGTAATGGTACAATCCGTAAGATCTACTTCAAAGAATTTCTTATTCTTGTAAATGATCGAATTCGGTGTGCTGACGTGAAAACAGGTTGCAGAGGTCTTACTAGGAGTAATCGGTATTTTGACCGCATTGTACGTTCTGTGTAATGATCCAGGTACTAGTTTAGGTGCTACTAGTAGGAAATGAAACAACAATACATTATTCTCGTGGTGGTCGACTTTGAGCAGGATCAAATCAGCTACCCGGTATAAAACCTCTGGGTTTGTTTTATACAATGTACCTTGGAAATTCGGATTTGAGCGTGTTATCAACTTCAAATCATTCAGCGTCAGGGTTTGTGCTATAGTAGATGAGAGTTTGCCGTGTGCTGTACTAAAAAACATTCGATTGAGTTTTGATTGATGCACGGTTAAACTTTGCTGGTAAACCATCAAGGACGCTAATGAAGTTATATCACACTGAAGACCTGCTATTTGTTCATAAATTGAACCTAATTGCCTGTCTATGATTTGTAACACATCCATATGAAATGTACGAGTGTTTTCAAATCCTTCTACAACTTGATTTGCGAAATCGTAAAAGCGACGTTCTAAACTTCCTAAATGTTCCTTAATTCGTTTATTCTCACTGGGTGCTTTCAACAGCTGATAAAAGTATCCAATTACTGGTACTTCTCCAAGTGGGTCAAATGCTTCCCAAGACAGACCTCTTTTACGTCTACTAACAATGCGATCACTAGTTACGTTAAGATCATATGAAAATTTGATGTCTCTGAATTTCTGCAGGTGCATATCGACAAGACTGTTTTGTGCTTGCAACATGGACTGTAAAACAGCTTCAAAGAGTGGATTTTCATTCTGACATAGCGCTTTTCTAGTCGTTTGATGCTCTTCAAGTAAACAATCTAATCTAGCGGATATGCTATTGGAATGGTCGTCTATAGCGTTCAGGTTGTACAAGAAAGGTGTCTGAATAAAACACGTACCCGTCGATGAATCAAAACTGAGGAGGCCACACAGTGGATTTAATAAACATCTAGCCAAACATCCTCCGGTGAATTCTTGGTCCGATCTCTCAAGAATCGAACTCTTATAGTTAGGGCAAGAATTGCTGTTTATGGGTCAATCTGTGAACAAATTCGTAACAAAGGTTTGTCTACAGGAATGTGTTGTCCATAGTCCCAGGAACCACCAAAAAAAACCGTCCAGCTGAAACTTTTGGGCAAAAATTTTTATAGTCATTTTTCTCCAGGAACCCATACGCCCCACCCCTAATATTGGTTATTCGGCTCCCGAAGGTCTTGAGATCTCCATAGGGGGTGCAAAATGACCGCAATGGCCACATTATGGCAGGCGAATGATAGTTTCAGAACGATTGGAGCTTTATTTTTCGAAATAAATGGAATTTTTCGAAATTTTTCGAAATTTTATTGAAATTTCGAAAAAAAATACACCAAATTATTTTTAACGCTTATTTCAAATTTATTTAAAAAATCATCTACAAATAACAAATACAGTTAATCTAAAATGTGTGTTCTCAGTAAATACCATGACAATTATTAATACACAGTTAATATTAATCAAAATTCGTTTGTTCTTCAGGTTCATCATGTCTAATGTTTGTGAAGTTCATACCATGGCATCGTCCACAAGCTGGCAAACAATTGAAGCCATATTTCCTACATGAACATCTGAAAGTCAAACAGGCCTGTTCCACATCGACAGAACAGTTACAACATATAAGGTTCAAAATAGACTCTGGAGCAATTATAGCTTTTGTTGCAACTGGTTCGTAAGTGCCACCAGGAGCCAATTTCCAGCCGTAGTCAAGGGGATATAGACTGTCAGCGTTAAGCATGACCCAGTTATGGTACTGTAAGTAAGCTCTAAGGATGTGCTCCGTTGCTGAAGCTATTGTTGGAGGTAGCCTATTCGGATTGAGACTCTTTTTCGCTACCATCCTATTGTATGCTAGGAATCTCAAAGCAGAAAGGGTCTTTTTCTTGTCACCATAAATGTACTGCAAGAAACAGAGGCCTGCCTCAATAATCTTTTCTTTTGATTCTCTCACCGAAAGTAATGTTGCCAACTGACCTTGCTCATCAAAGGTGAGAGCTTTCTTTAGCACTTTAACCTTGCTAAAACCAAACAATCCACTGACGCTATCACAACCTGAAATACTATGAATTAGAAGAAGTATCTCCTTTTCTTTATGATCTAGATGACTTGATATTTCTTTGATTGAATATGTACCCTTCTTCGTTGTTAGATAAATATCATTGTGATGGTCACTGTTGAAATGATGTACTAATAGACTTGAACTATATCGGTATCCTCTGCCTTCAATTCAACATCGCCAAGGAATGACATTTCCAATGTTTTCTTTACAATTAAAGTATCAGCATCGTTACAAGCTCTGATCACTTCAATACCATTTACAGTAAAAATGCTTGAGATAAGGTCGATCAGTTCTTTTTTGTTATTGTTGTTGCTCAGAAATGTTGTTTTGGTGATCACAGTAAGGTGGATTTCTTTACAGCAATATTAGCACAGAACGCTTTTACTCTCCTCTTGTGCTCGTGATCTTTAGTAGAAGGCTCATATCCATCAAAAATCACAGTAACTTCCCGATTTTTAGGGATAAGCTTCAAGTACTCCATTGCTACCTCACCATAATTGTCACACCTTTTAAATGAGCTTAGTTGGTGAAATAGCCAACCTCCATCAATGACTAGTGGGATCGTGAAGCTGCAAGATTTAAGTGTAGATTGGTTTATACCAAGAGCAGCCTTATTAAATTTCCTCATCATCTGATATTGATCAAATAAGCTTATCGGCACCACAGTTAACTCGTGTTAGGCATTATCTCTATTGAAGTCTCTCTATCAGCAACCAAGACTAGACGGTTAAAACACTTCAACGGATCGACTGCAACGCTTTTATTATTCACTTTAACCTGCTTTCTTAGTTGTGTCAAGTTCTTTGCTTTACCTTCGATACTTATCTTATCGATGAATGTCAACCCATCTAGCCCCAACGGCCAAACATTCCTCGGGATTCACCTCATCGTTCCCAGGCTGTGATATAAGACCAGTCGAAAAAGATATTAACTTAGTCTTATCTTCGGATTCTGTAAAGTCGACAGTAACTTTAAACCAAGTTAATAATTTTCCAAATACATCACAGTTTTTCTTGATTGATGACTTAGTAAGATCTGAGTGGATGGCAGCTTTAGTTGGTACTCCTCGCTTCGATGAATTAGCTAATGAATCTCCAAAAGACTGATTTATCAAAGCCATCTGATTCAGGGTGGCCACCCATAACTTGTGAGCGGACTCACGATTACGCATCCTTCCACTTGTTAATCCACCACTAGATTTAGCTACCCTCATAAGACTCTGCTCTATGGAGAGGTCAGTCCACACCCCGGCCCACTCGTGGTCGTTGTAACAAACCGTGTGAAGCCCAATTACTTTAAAGGTCTTTAAAAGCGCCCCATACTTTACTTTAAAAATAGCATCCTGCTCCAAATACAGTCTTAAAGCTTTTGCATACTGTCCCCTCCCAGCTGCTGCGAAGTAGGGCAGCATCAAAGCTACTGCTGATAAATGCATATTGTAGTCGTGCAACCTCTCTGCTCTTATGAAGTCCTTTACTAGTGTTATCATGTTGTGGTAAGTAACCCATAGAGCTGCTGTTCTACTCTTGGAAAACAGGTTCTTTAGAAGCAGAGTTATTTTCTCTGATAGATCCTGAATAGATTTAGTCTTAAAGTTAACACCTAGATTTTCGTTCACACATTTGTTGATGTAACCTTCCAAGTCTACTAGTTCATCGTCGTAAACTTCTTCCTCTATAATGAAACAACAAAGAGCGGCGTCGATCAGAAAGTGGGCTATCAACGCTTTATAGTAAGATCCTCCATCCGATATATGCGTGACGTCTCCAGGATACAAAGGAGTTTGATGAGCTCCTCTAAACCTGAGTCTGCCATTATATAGCCTATGCAGCCAAGAAAACTCGTGAGAGTGTGGAAGCCTCCAACCCTGACCACAATAGGCATCCCAGTTTCCAGTACTATTCGGGTGGCCTTAATCCACAATGGCAAATCGAATGTGATTATCATTGGCTCACTGTAGGATAACTTAAAACATTCAACCAGAGTAGTATGTACCGTCGAATAGCTGTCTGGGGGTTGGTCAATAATCTGTTGTTTGTTAGTTAACCTTGATATTTGTTAATTGAAGTTATTTCCCGAGTAAGATTTGAAATAAGCGTTAAAAATAATTTGGTGTATTTTTTTCGAAATTTCAATAAAATTGAGAAAAATTTCGAAAAATTCCATTTATTTCGAAAAATAAAGCCCCAATCGTTCTGAAACTACCATTCGCCTGCCATAATGTGGCCATTGCGGTCATTTTGCACCCCCTATGGAGATCTCAAGACCTTCAGGAGCCGAATAACCAATATTAGGGGTGGGGCGTATGGGTTCCTGGAGAAAAATGACTATAAAAATTTTTGCCCAAAAGTTTCAGCTGGACGGTTTTTTTTGGTGGTTCCTGGGAGTATGGACAACACATTCCTGTAGACAAACCTTTGTTACGAATTTGTTCACAGAAAAATCAACTCTTGCCCTAACTATTAGCAGGGACCAATTTTTCAATCCAACACGCGTGTCTTCTATCCGTCATGGCCGTTACTTTGGTCATGTCAGGAGTGCACGGTAATTGACACACTTTCTCAGGAGGCCTAGGAGCTGCAACTTTCATGAATACCGATTGTAGAATGTTTTCGGTGCTAGTGGCCAGTAATTTATCCGGTATAAGTGCCAAACCCAACTCTTCTTTAGTTATTTGAGCAGTGGTACTCAAAAACTGGTTTACCTGTGTAAACCCTTTTTCCAACCCAGCTGTGATCTCACAACACAACATGAAACCAACGAGTACAGTTCCATATTTCATAGCTTCAAATCTGTAAAATATATCATATTCACTTATCGTTTAATTATTCGTATACAGGTAAGAATCTTAGATTATGGTGTTACAAAGAGAAAATATAAGGGTAACATTCCTCTTTTCTCTTTCATAACCCAGATATTCCTACCGGCCATTTTCGAGCTCTCATACGGTATAATTAATCGAATTATTGCCGACCTGCAATAAACTTTCTCCATTATCCGTGAATTCTGCGCCTATTACTCATACAAAACTTGTTCACACTTCAAAACTCTTAATTCCATCTGTAAATCATTCTCGTTAATACATTTCTCTTCCCAAAACTCATTTCGCTATGAAATCAAATACATCGTACTTTCTATGTCAACTGCTGTTGTGAGGTCTCATCTTCACTGCATACTGTACTTTAAGTGACTGTGTAACTGAACTAATGTTGAGGTAATTTGATTTCTTCAAATTACTGTGCTTATAGCTGAATTCTACCGTATTATAGCTGTACCTCAATTCGCAATTCTAACGTATTCTAGCCACTCCATCAGATCAACTGTACCGAATGTTTTCTACGAATTCCACTATTAGTAACGTATTTGTTGCAGCTGTTTGACTTACAGTATACACCCATATGCATATGATACAATTTTTAAACTATATTGTGATCGAGTCACAGCTCATGCCGTGATACCAAATACTATATGTACACATATTGATTATCTTCGTAATAATGCGTTCTAATATTCAGTCTACCTGGAGTTCAGTCTAATCTGCTCTCCTTGTCGTGGACCGTAAAAAGTAACCGTGCCTTGTTTGAGCCGCATCATTAAGATCGTCCTCGTTTATATCAAGTGGTCTTTCATCTTCATCCAATACTGTCGGTTTGGTGCAAGTTCCAAACATAGTTTGATAAAGATCTGAATCTACAGCTTTTTCGATAACAGGTTCCTCAGAGTCAACTTCTAATTGTTTAAAGTTCACATTTTCTTTCCTCAAATTAGGTGGTACAAATTTTAAGGAGTCAAAATGAACAACTTCTTCTTTCATGGTGTTTACATTTTTAACCACATAAGTCCAAGAAGAAATTACTTTTACTATCTCCCATGGTCCTGAGTAGCAGTTTCTAAACTTCCTCAAATCCTTTAGTTTAGGACTGATAGGTTTCCACAGCAATACATGGTCACCAACCTTGTATGTCGTGTGAAATTTTCTCTTCCTATCATAAGCTACCTTCTGCCTCATCTGACCAGCCATATTATTGGCTCTAACTAGGTCAAATACTTCTCTCATTTCATAATATGACGCTGCAGCTAAATGTCCACCTGATTTGTAAAATTCTGTTGTGGTTGTGTCGTATATAAGATCTGCTGGAACCCTCACCTCTCTTCCCATATGAAGCTTGTATGCTGAAAACCCTGTCGTTGAACATACAGATGTATTGAGTGCAAACACTGCTTGGTCTAGTTTTCTGAACCACTGTTTTGGATCATTATCAACTAGTTTCTTTAGAACTACTACAAGGTGTTTATTGTAACTTTCGCATTGTCCATTACCTCGAGCATGATAGGAAGTGGTTTGCAACTTAAACACTGACATGAGATTGTATAGCATTTTTATGGTATGAGACGTCGTTAAATTACCACCACGATCTGACAATAAACATTCAGGTACACCGAACACCCAAAACCAGTGTTTCATGAGAGCTTGAGCTATAGTTTCTGACGATGCATTAATTAACGGTACAGCTCGTACAAATCGTGTGAACCTATCTACCATTGTTAAGATCCATCTATACCGTCCTGGTCCGTGTATTTCTCCTATAAGATCAATGCTGAGATATTGGCCAGGTCTATTTGCAGGAAACAGTTTCAGGGGTGCTTGAGCATTTCGTTGGTAAGTATGATTATTCAGGAAACAAACTTCACAAGTTGCACAGAACTGTTTGACTTCTGCTGTTATCCCTTCAAAAAAGTACTTAGCACGCAGCCTGAACAAAGTTTTCATCGGACCTAAGTGACCACTAGCTTCTAAGCTATGATGAGCTGCAATGATGTCTAATCTCAGACCTTTAGGGACATATAAGAGTTCTATAAACTTTTTAGAATTAGTCAAGTAGTAGTTGTAACAGACTGTTCCATCTGCACTAAGTCTAATGTGTTCAAACATTAACCAACATTTCAAAAGTGTTGGCCCAAAACCTGCTCTAACCAGTTGCTCAGTTGGTTTCTTGTTTAGCTTTAACCATCTGTTAATTTCAATGAAATCATTATCTACTTCCTGAGCTTTCTTAATGATTTTACTGACATGAGCTGGCAAAGGATTTAAAAATGAACCCAATGGTTGATGGATAGGTTGCGACCCTAATTCATTCTCATGGTTCGTATTATCTTCTTGCTGATTATCCGGTTGCTGCACTAAAATACTCTCTGGAGTCACGTTCGTGTTACTTTCCTGATCCTCTTGCATTACATTATACGCCTCATGAGTTGCTAATATACATGTGTTGACTGTGACGCTGTGTACTTTAATGCATACTGGTTGTGTTGATACGATCAGATTCGGATACTCAGGAACCATTTCTTGCTGATTGTCTACTACTGAGGCTGCTTTCACTTTATTCGAAACTATTTCTAACTGCATATTGATTTCTATAGTGTCAGTAGAAATAGGAAGTGGTTTTGTATATTCAAGCTTTTCGATTGGTTCGATTTCTTCAAATATAGTTTCCATACAGTGTACTTTACTCTTCGAGAATCTCTTTACATAAGGTCTGCAAACCGGTTCCATCTCACAAATGGCCATAACCGATCTAGTAGCTGACTTATTCGTGGCAACCGTAGAATGTACAGTCTCATTTTCACTTTCTCTCGAACTCATGTTGACCTTGGACTCAGGGTCAGTCCACCACGACAGAAGGGTCTGTGAATCCTGTGGTAATCTACTAAGGCAGTCTGGAACGTCTAAATATTTGCCTTGAATGTATTTCAGCTTGAACGAATAATCTGAGAGGTCCATGAGCCAACGTAACAGAATCGCTTGAGTTGTATTTTTAAGGAAACCATCATATGTTAGTGACCGCATATCAACGTGGCAGGTAAACTCAGAGCTAAGTAAATAGTACCTCCAAACTACAGTCACGTGGTACCAAAGTGCGTAAAATTCCCTCTTGTATGACGCCCATCTTCTCTCAGTATCGTTTAGTACTTTTGAGCTAAAAGCAATAGGACGAAAATGACCATCTATGTAATGCCCTATGCAACCTGCGATTGCTTGCAGTGAAGCGTCAGTGAATACATGCATCTCCAGGTCAGGTGAGGGGTATATTAACACTTCTGGACTACAAACTGCTTCTTTCAACAATTGAATACTAGTTTCAGCAGCTTTAGTTAATTCAAACTTATCTCCTTTAAGGCAATCTGTCAGGCCCTTTGCTTTTTGTGCAAAGTTTTTGATGTGCTGTCGAAACCATGAAAAACAACCAAGTACTTTTCTAAGTTCCTTCTTAGTTCTAGGCATTCTCATGTGCATAAGAGCATTAATCTTTACGCTATCTGCTTCAATCCCATTTTTCGATAGTATCACTCCGCAAAATTTTAGTCTCGCTCTGAACAGAAGCGTTTTTGCTGGATTTAATCGCAATCGGGATATCCTTATTCGGGCAAAGATCACTCTTAAATTGTGAACCATACTAGTAAAGTCTAAAGCTGGAGACAGAACGTCATCTACGTAGACTGAAGCAATTCGAGCCGGTAAACCGGCTAGAGTCTTATCGACCATGTTCTGGAAACTTCCTGGTGCTGAACATAAACCTAGACATAGAACTCTCCACTGAAAGAAACCTATTCCTGGTAACGCAAAAGCAGTGTACTTGCGATGTTCTGGTTTCAAAGGAATTTGGAGAAACCCGTCTTTAAAGTCTAGACTTGAAAACATGGTGGCTCCATGACAGCCTGCCGTTATGGTATTTAGGGCTGGAACAGTAGCATAACTTCTACTTGTTACCTTATTAAGCTGTCTAAAGTCTAAAACGATCCTAATCTTATTCTTCGCTTTTATGACTAGTGCTGGAGTGTTGTAGTTACTTTGAGAGTGTTCTATCAGCCCATTAGATAACAGATTTTGTAATTCAAGAATAGCCTCCTCCCGAAGATGCAGGGGCACACGTCTATACGGAGCTCTAACAGGTACATCCGTTGTAAGGTTTATCTCATGATAAACCAAATCAGTTAATCCCAGTTCACTCCTATCAAGTGCGAATATGTCTGCAAATTCAGTGATCAGATCTTTAGCTATAGATTTTTGAGATTCGGTTAATTCTTCATTGTTAGATATTTCCAATGCTTCAATAATCTTAGCTACTCTAACTGGATCAAAATCCGATTTCTCCTTAAACTCCTGATTGGTTTTTTCAGGATTCTGTGATTCGACTACTTTAGTGCTACATATGGCTGGCACTGCATGAGCTATAAGAGATCCTTTTGGTAACCATATTTCAGCTGATTCTGATTCATTAGCGATCGGAATTTCAACCCTTCCATTCACTAATAACACTGGGTGAGGATTACACTCTTCAAATAATGTACATAGTGGCCATAGTTCTTCTACTGGTTTAATGTAATACAGTCCCGATATTTCTGCAGTACCCTGGTTGGTATCCAAATTATTCACTGTACATTCTAAAACATCTAATCCAGTTACTACAGTGTCGTGCAGAATTCTAACTTGTAACGTGATGTTACTAGGTGTTCCTTCTAGAAGACAGGCTACGAATTCATTATTTTTGACTGTTTTCGATTTAAAATCAATGATAATGTGGTGTCTTGAAAGGAATGTTTGACCAAGTATACACGCTTCGTTCATCATTTTGGTTACTATAAAATCACATTTTAATACTGCATTCTTCACTATTACCGCTACATTATGTAAGATTCCCAACGTTTGCAATGGCGCTCCAGTGACTCCAACTAATTTAAAGGTTCCTTTGGTAACTTGGTTGCTAAGTCCAAGTTTTTCAGCTAACTTTTCTCCAATTAGATTCACACTGGATCCTGTGTCAAGGAGAGCCTTTACTCCCACTGAATTAATGGCAACATTCAGATACACATGGCCTTCACAGAGGTTAATGCCTTCCCTGTCAAGGTCTTCCTCCGAGGGAACCCCACAATCCCCACCCCTCTCGTCAAGAGAGGGACTAACTAGTTTTTTGGAATTGTACTTTCAGTTCTAGCAAACCTTGCAGCATTCTGTCTATTCACTAAATTGTGTGGCGACCACTGATCATTGTACTGTTCATGTCCCAGAGTCTCAGCACTTCTATGAGTAGTTGAGCTAGAGGCCTCTGACTGTCCATTCCCTACATTCTGTGAACCAGGTCTTCTAAAATGATCTTGCTCCTTATTCTGCTGACGTTCAAGAGCTATATTATAAGCCTGTTGAGCTCTATCTTGGAGTGGCATATTTTGCTGTTGGCGGCCCTGAGAGGTATTCTGGAGAGGTCTACCTCTTGGCTCATAAGTGTGATTATACCCTCTCTGTCTATAATCGTCAGGCCTACTAAAGCTCTGTGAGTTGCGGTTAATTGACTGCCTCTCTTGGTACTGACGTCTATTACCATCTGCAGTACGGAACCCACAGTTCCTAGCAAAGTGTCCATTTCGACCACAACTGTAACATTTAAGAGGCCGACTAGAGGAGCTCTCATAGGATACGCCTCGTGAACCCTGAACCGTCTGGCTCGGAATGAATGAGTTAGTTAGTGATGTGCAGTTACTAGCATAATGACCATACTCTTGACACTTAAAGCATTGCACGTTACGGTTGTTTCTAGGTTCACGCCAGTTGTTATGCTGTGGCCTTTCTCCGCCCGTGTACCTGACAGTAAGTGGCGCCTGGAGAAAGTCCTGATCAACCGTTTCTCTGGTATCTAGTTCAGTTTTCATAACCGAGACTTCTACCTTATCATGAGCTTTGATCGCCTGTCTAGCTTGGTATGATGAATCTAGTTTGACTGCTTCAGCCAGTAGCTCCTGAAAAGGCTGATCAGAGAGGTTGATAAGAATCATGCTGAGGTCATCTCTCAAAACTCCTGCCGATAATGCGTCTTTCAAGACTGAGTCCCTTGCAGCAATTTGGTTTTCAGCATAACCAGCTTTACCCAATTCGAGTAACCTCTGACCAAATTGCGCAACCGTCTCATCATGAAACTGTGTGGCTTTTTTGATCTCGAATCTTGCCTTGACTGCTACACTAGGAGTACTAAGTGCTTTAATTACCTCTGCTTTGAAAGTATCCCAATCGTCCTCAGTGGTTAGTTCCTTATCCACTAGTAAATTAAGGGACTTAGCATCGAGGTAGGTTAAGAAAGTGCTAACAGCCTGTTGTCCGTTCATGCTCATTATATATCTAAAGGGCTCATACATGTCAAAGTAAGCTTGAATGGTAGTGGTAGATGAATCGAAGGTATTCGGTCTACGACTTCCTGCAACTCCAGCCCTAAAATCAAGCTTCGCAGTTTCTACTGCCGTAGTAGCATGTGTAGTAGCATACGCTCGAACAGCTTGCTTCTGCTCCTCATTCAAAGCATTCAATTGTTCGCCTAAGTCAGCCATAATATTGCTTTCTTGGCTCAAACGGGAATTCTTCAATAAATTCGACACAGAAGTTATCTAGTTGTACTGATACCCTTAATTGTATGAAAAGTTAGTATAACAACTTATCCAATAATTCAGATACGTACGGTACTCCGGTGTTCACGACCAGCTACTCGGATTCAAATCTCTCTAACTTACTTCGTTATTTCTATCGTTCGAATAAACTAAATACGATCAAAAATAATCACAAGGAATGCTAAGGTTTGAACGTAATATTAAATTCGAAGAATTAAATAAAAGTGTTATTTCGAAGTTCAACACGGAATGACGTTTAGCAGCTAACCAGGTCAAACAATAATCCTGGTCGCAGCACCAAAATGTAGCACACTTAGTGTACCTAGCTACTCGAACTTAGTGGTAGGATAACAAAATGAAAGACTTTAAATTTTGGGGTTTTGTAGAAAAGTAAAGATTGTAACGTAAATAAAATGGTAAACTTCAGAACTGATCTCTCTCTAAACTAAACATGCGAGTAATAAATTTAAACGTAGAATTCTGTCTCGTCTAAGGTGGGGTGGAATTTTAAGAGTTGACGGATGAATCGTGACAAAAACTATCAACAAGGTGAACTAAAACGGAAGATCATAAATGGGATGGTGTGTCACGTGATTAACTAAGATAGGCCTGATTGGATGGCTAATTAAATGAGTGAAGATTATTGGATTAAGTGGCATGCTTTCTACTGTGCTTGATGACAACCTATGAAACTAACTGATGAGAAAATGTAACTTATATGAATTCAGGTGCTGCCGTAGTGACTATTAAACTATTTAATTTGAGGTGTGAGTGAAAAATACTAATTCGCGCACAAACAAAATATCAACCATATAAATATTTCTGACCAGTAACTATTTTAGGAATTATGCCCAGATTATAAAGATAATATAAAACCTACACACTGCACAAATATTGCCACGCACCGTTTTTATTGTAAACAATAAAGGTACACTTAACAAGCCGGTGGGCAGCGTGTAGAGTGAAAATGAGAAATACAGTAGAACCTCAATTTACTGCGGAGTTTGGGGAAGGAAAAATCAGGGTTTGCGGTAAATCGGGGTTTTACTGTACCAAAAGGAGAAAGGAAACTCCTAAAATCAAGCCCCCGGGTTTAACTCACCGAAAACTGGCTGGGAGTGGTGAGTCCAATAGGAGTCATGTGCTTGATAACAGGTAAGAGAACAGAGAGCCGCTCATGAGGCACAACCTCTTTCTCCCCAATCTGACACCAGTCCAGGTCTTTAGTGTGTTCTGGTGGTTCGTGAGCAGGTTAGGAGAAAATCTATCAATATAACTACATTGAATTAATACTGATTGACAGATTGGTCAACAAGAATAGTAATTAAATTTTTATGCTATTTAGAAAACTGTTGTTATTATTATGTTTATACACTTGCATAATTTTTGATGTAGACATCCATATTTACCGCACAATTTGGCGAAGGGAAAAAAGTACGGTAAATCGGTGATCAGATTTATATGAATCTCAGTTGTATTATCATATTATACGTTTCACACAAATCATGCAGAAAACATTGTGCTAAATTTTCATACAAATACACACCTTCATAATTACATTCAGGGTACATTGTGCTAAACATTGACAATCTTTCAATTAACAATCACTGATTGGGTCAGAATTGTAAATATTGAGAAGGACTAGCAAGCTATTACGAACATAGTTAATTAAGTATGCCTGTATCTTGTATCAAAAGTACATTATACAATTATAATCATCCAATAAACAGTGATTGATAGATGTGGATTCTGGTAGCAAGAAGGGCAATTATATTTATTAGACACGTGACAGTGATTCTGGGGTTTAACAGGGTTAATAGTGGAAGCTGATTGGTTAATAGCTGTCACGTGTTATAGTTCCCCACCAGACTCCACATCTACATTCTACAAGAGTGATTGACATGCCCGACGTGGTACCTGTCAATTACCTATGAACTTACGCATCATGGCCTGGCGTTTAGTAAAGTCCTCACTCCAGGTGGACCGCTTAGCTACCGAGCTAAACAGGAAGCGGTGGAACTGTGTTGACGTGCACGGCGAACTGGGGGGTTAAATTATTAATTGGTAATTATTAGTTAGAAATTGTGAAGCTGTAGGTTAATTTGTTGATTCAGCGATGTATTATTCTAATTTTACGTTTGTGGTTCGACACAGAGAAACACGAATCTTAATTTTAAGATTTTAACTTAGGTAGATTGTGGGTGTCTTTATAAATAAATAAATAAACGAATGAAACTAACTTGATTATTAACAAATAAATAACTGAAACTAACTTGATAGGTCGTGTAACGTCCAGTGTCTTGCCTCGTCGGCTCTCCTCGCTGGATTGCCTCTCTGCGATCTCTCGCTTTAACTTGTCTTGGACTTCTGCCAACTTGTCAAACCTTATGTTCTGAAACATACCCATAGTTTGCTCATTCATAAATATTTCCTATAGTTACTTGAATTTTTTTACTGACGTACGATTTCGCTTTAAAACAACATTGAGGTTCGTTTATAATTGAATTTTTTAAACATATCAGAAAGTTTCTGGTAAGAATTCGCTATTACTCGCCACAATTACAGACATAAAAAGATAAAAGGAGTTATAATATTATGTAGATTTTAAACAGCTTGAATTTCTTTAATTGATGTATTGTTTAACAGACCGAAAAGCTTCAGATAGGAACTTGGTATATTGTTTCGTGAATAAAGCCACGATTTCGCTCTTTTAGATTTTAAACAGCTCTAGTTCCCTTAATAATTGAGGATTTTTAAACAGGCCGAAAATTTTCTGAGAGGAATTCGTTGTTGTTTCGAAAATACCTTATACCATAACAATTAAACACAGGTGAAAATACAGCGGAACCTGGAGTCTATTTGTCGCGGATCATGTTGTTTAAATTGAAAATTTAATCCGTCAGATATAACTGAATTTTTCAAATCAGTCGACTTGATGTGAACAACATTAATGCAATTGAATAGCCCATTCATTCTTAATCCCACCCTCATTCTTAATCCCACCGATCCGAAAATGACAAAAATTAAAAGTCTAAGTAAAGATTAATGAATTTTCAAAATGTGTTTGTAATTTTTACAAATATGAAAGTTAAATAAGCAACACTAAATAAGTCCAAATAATAAGATTTTAACCGAACTGAATTTCTACTACGATTATCAAATAAAACCAACCGTGTAGCTTCCTTTGAGTTGCATGCGGAGGCCATCAATCTGCTCTAATAAGTACAGGTCATCTTTCAGGGCTTGGGAACCCTCTGACTCCTCTTGTGTTTCTTCCGGTAAGGAACTCTGTGATAACATCAAGGTTAAGTAGTACACACAAATGGGGGCCAGGGGGAGTTTAATTATCCATCTATCTAATAATTTGATAATCTAACCGTCTAACGTATGTGACTAGTACTTTAAATAGTTTTACTGTAAAAACACATAACGTTAATATTTCGTTATGTCAAAGTTTAATGGATGTAAGATTCAATGAAAATTAAACCTCACATAGCTGATGTACTCAATGTTTTAAGTAAAATACGGACCTTAGATTCGTTGCTTTCTTTGCTAATTTCTACGTCAGTGATAAGACAGTCCCACAGATATTGGTATTCTGCTGTACTGCCGGTTGATCTGGAGATGTAATGTTAAGTTAACAATCTGTTCGGGATCAACTGTGGTGTAATTAATTATGTGTCAAAAATAATTGTTATTAAATTTGTTGTTTCAATTTACATTACTTTACTACTTGGACGGAAAATACTGCATTATTAAACTTTTGACACTTCGTTTTCTGTAACCTATGACCTTTACCATGACGTGATAAGTTTAGCTTCATGCCACTAAAATTGAAACATCTTAATTCGAAAAAGAGCATTAGAGGAAGTTTTAGCAAGAATTCTCAAAGAAAGCACACCAAGAAAAAACGTGATATTTTCACTAATTAACCATTACATGTTATATATCCAATAAAAAAGAAGTAAAAATGTTAGCGGCATCCAAGCAAAGTGAAAATGTACAAAAGGACGTCGAGGATAGTATTTAAAACATTTGTCTGATTGTCCTCTGGTAGCAATGAACATCCTCTGGTAGCAATGAACATCCGAAACTGAATCTCTGATATTTGGGACCATTAAAAACATTTTAGCATTATATAATATTTAAAGTTAGGAATGGGACAAAAATTGTTTATTTATGGTGTCTTTTTTAGAATGAAAGAAAAGGAAAAATAAAAAATTAATTAATGAAAGGCAGAACAGATAAACAATAAAATAGTAACAAAATTAAATAAGTCTTTTGTCAGTTATGAAGCAGTTCTTCCTAGGTCTTCCGGCTTTTCTTCATGAAATAGTGTTCAGAAAGAAGCACTCTGTCTTCTTTGAGCTCTCTTCCTTCTCCAATATCTAACCACCAGAATTGCGACCCTACAGATAAACATTACAGTCTTCCTCATGGTAATCTGGGAGAAGAAGATAATACAGGTACAGATACCGTGCAGGACACTAAGACAGTGGTAGGAGTAGAGGAAGTTGGTGGTTGTTCCAAGGTAATTCCTGATTTGAACAAAGACCTCTGGGTAACAATCAGGCATTATATGGATCTTCATGTCCTCGATAGAAAGGAGTGCAAGATAGATATGGAAGACTAAATCTGTGATATAGAGGGCAAGGAGCACTAGCAAGCCAGATTTTATGGAGTTGTAAACTTCCTTCTTGCCTTCGACAATCATATCAGATGCACTGTCAGAGTTTCTATTAGGACGGTGTTTGTAGAGCATCTTTGCCATGCACAGAACAGAAATCAAAGACACAGTCATCCCCACCACATCAAACAACACAATAACAACAATCATGCTGAAAGTTACTTTACTCCACCTTTCAGCAGATTTATCGCCGTCACCTTTTCTCAAACCACATCAATCTGGCGTAGAATCTTAAACCACCCATGCTTATCCCTATCACCCAAATGGTCAGACAGAACGCCTTCTCCAGACTGATTGCCCGTCGGGATTGGGTAATGATCTTTTGTGGTATTGCCACATAAAGAAGGCGGATGATAAAGATGGGCAAGAAGAATCCGACTCTTACGAAATGTATGACATCTTCGATTCCACTTGCAACTAAGGTGTACATGTTAGCTCCGATATCGAGAGGATCTTGGCTGCTTTTGAAAAGCAAGACTGTGTTTGCGCTCTCGAGAAGATGGGCAAAGCAAATATTGGCGCAGAAAATGGAAGACAGAGGTGTGGTGCCTACTCTTTTGCTTCTCACATAAATGGTAATCAGGAGTAAAATGTTTATCACCGCTCCGAGAAAGGAGAAGACTTGGTCAGCAACTGGAAGAACTTCGTTTGGGAAGGTGTTGTTCTTGTTATGGCGAATAGCTGATCCGTTAAGACAGCGCCACACGCCTGTCAGTACAGACATGATCCTACAAAATATCATTGTAATTCTATTATTAGGATTATTAGGATTCTATTAGTATTATTAGGATCTGGGGTCAAATCCGGCTTTGTACTCGTGTGTATTATCTTTTTACATCTCTTATTCCAATTGTGACCTATGTATAACGTATTATATAATATGTAAGATAATGCAAATATAGTCCATTCAACTATAAAAAGGTGAAGAGATCCTAGATTCTGGAATGCCAAAAGTATACTAAATCCGGATATCAGTGCAGCAAATGAGGTGAACGTTGTAAACTGCTGCTCCACATAACGAGGAATGACCATCAATATCGAGGATAACAACTTTAAAAGTTGCCGGATGGAAATAAGATATATGAATGATGGATAAGACAAAATTTACAAAAAGGTAACTGCTCATAGATCAAATAATGAAAATGATAAGACAAGGAAAAGGATGGGTGTTAGGATATGCACTGTAAAAAGAGCATGTAAGAGTGGATTTCTGACCACCTGAGATATCTACTCAGACAGATATTTAATATCATGAGCTTATTATACTGTTATACAGAATAAAATGTCCTCCTTTCAGAAAACGGAATACAATATTATAGTCTCCCATTACCATATTATTATTTTGATCGTATTTGTATTGTTAGCTCATTAATATCCTGAACTGCACACAAAAAGGGCTTAAACTGATCTGAGCTACTGGATAGAAGGGGGACGAGTGCAATTTCTGGAATTTAATTTGCTATAAGAGCTGTTTGGAAGTTAAGAATAAGTGACGTTATCAGTAAAACCTAAGTATTTTTTTCCGCAATCAAAAGAAGCTATATAATAATTATAACAATTCAATACAATATTTTGAAATGCTCGATAATGATCTACTTAAAAAAGCCTGTAATATTGGGGAACCTAAGACGACGCTGTTAAATACTTAAATAGTCTCCATCTCTTCTACGCCTCCATCTAGCAGCTATGTAGACGCTGTTAAATAGTCTCCTTCTCTTCTACGCCTCCATCTAGCAGCTATGTAGACGCTGTTAAATAGTCTCCTTCTCTTCTACGCCTCCATCTAGCAGCTACGTAGACCACCACCAGACCAGTAACCTTCCACATAAACCTAATGGTCTGCTTCATGGTCTTCTGCAGAAGGAAGATGATGCAGATACAGATACCGTGCAGGACACCAAGAAGGTGGTAGGAGTAGATGAAGTTGGTTGTTGTTCCAAGGTAGTTCCTGATTTTAACAAAGACCTCGGGGTAGCATCCGGAAGTAAAGTAGATCTTTAAAGCGGTAGCAGCAAGGAGACAGCGGTAGGCTTCGAAAACTAAATCTGTGGTGAGGAGGATTATTAGGACTTGTAGGCGAGACTTATAGTAAGGGGAAAAGTGGTCGATTTAAGGGTTCCGTTGGATTTGAATGTTCACAAGGATTTCTCAACGGAATATGGTAGTTAAGACCCCTACGAACATAATTAGACTTGTTGCCAATTTTGTATCTCAACAGAAACACCACTTTTACCACTTTTTACCACCTTTGTACCACCTGTCTGGTTTGCCAAATATCTTTAGTTGTGAACGTCGTAAAAGGCTGCAAATTAACCTAGAATGTTTATCTTATCAAGGAGTAAAACTTTTGTGTGAAAAATTTTTACATTGGACAATCAGCTAATTGGATAATTACCAATTAGTTAATCACCAAAAAAAGTGAAAATTTTTTATTGGCTCAAAATGATTGAAATCGTTTGAAACACGGAGAAATGTAGTTTTTAGAAAAACTTCAAAAATTTTTCACTTAAAAATTTTTTTCGAGACTTGGAAAAAAGTTTGAAAATTTAAAAATATTTTTTTCCGCCAAAAGTGATCGAATTGCATGAAACGTGGATAAAAATGCTTTGCAGAAAAACTTCGAAGATTTTGAGATAGGGGAATACTAAAATCATCAATATTTGAAGTTGGAGTTCAGTAAATCTCGACATATTTTAGTAATTAGGAATAGCTTAGCGGAAAGGGCTGAACCTGAAAAAGGTTAACCACACAATATTAGAGTTTCATAACTAATTACAATACAGCTTTATCAAATTCCACATAAAGAAACAGCACAAAAGGACCATTTAAGATCGAACCGATTTTACCTGCTGTACTATCATTTTATTGATTTCAATGATCAAAACCTCTGTACCGTCAATCTTGCCAATCTATACCGGGTATCTGAATGTACCGGACCTCTTATTTACCTCTATAATTAGACCCAGTTGTGCAAGAAATGCGATTTCTCACAGGGGTTTCTTTTAACTGTGCACTTTTTGTCACTCTTGCAACTCGCAAGAGGCCCGGTATTATAGGGGGGTATAGGAAGCGAGTGTAAATATACCTTCCATCATCCACTGTGGCTTTTTTGTATTGTGAATGCGCATGCCGCTTCGTTTGCTATGCCAGATACCTCGAATAACCCCCATATGTCATTGCCAGGGTCGGGATAGAGCTGGAGATAGCATTGAAAAGTTGCTAGAAATAGCTAGATTTAGAGTAAACTGGTGGTAGCTGGGTGGTGCTAGCATGGATGTAGCAGAACGTAGCTACACGGGGTTTCATTGGAGTTGGTTATTTTAATGGCCAAAGAGTGCCGGAACTAAAGTTACTTAAGATTGCAGTTGAGGGGCAGTGTAAACCACGGTGTAGTCAGGGACACAGAGCTACAGTGCAGGAGTACTGCAAGTGCAAAAGAACAGTGCAAGTGATACAGTATGCAACAGTAAAACGCCGAAGAAGGAGATAAGATTGTGGCTGCAGAGGAGGAGAGGAGCTGGAACCTGATTTTGTTTGGGTTGACAGAAGAGTAGGAAGAAGAGTTTCCTGCTCTGGTAACTGCATTTTTGGAAGAGGTGGGGTGAGAACTTATTTTCAAGCGACAAGGGTGGGCTGGAAGCAACCAGGTACAGCTATCCGACCTATTAAGATCACCGTCCTGAGCTTAACAGCCTTTCATCAGAATCTGATGAAAACAGAGAGACTGACCCACCCTTTTTAGATTGATTGATCAAAGTGAGTCTCTTTAGCCCTCTTCTTCTTTAGAGCTTTAGGTTAGTGATCAAACTCTTCGCTACTCGCTCTTCACTGGATCTATCAGGACACAGTGGATGATGGAAGGTATATTTACACTCGCTTCCTATACCCCCCTATAATACCGGGCCTCTTGCGAGTTGCGAGAGTGACAAAA